ATGCATAGGCGAAACTAGAACGCTAATTGAGGGTGGTGTAAATATTCATATATTCAGCTCGGCCCCTGCTGCTGATTTCTTTTGTTGGTGATGTTAAATTCAATAGAAATCAGCAGGGCAAAGCTGAATATATGAATATTCACCAATTAGCGTTCTAGTTTCTCCCTGCATGTATTCAGTCATTGTGACAAATCATGCAGACGTTGTGGCCACAAACGAAACATCTAATTCAGCATACAACGTAACATTAAAGTTATCTGTTGCGGAACTTTACGAAACAGCACATTTTGAATTTTGGTTGAATTTGCCTTAGTTTAGAAATTTTAATCTTCACTCCCAAAAGTTTACTCTATATATTTATTGAATTTTGCTTTTACACAAATCAACAGGAAAAATAATGGAATTAAGATCAATGGCAGTTTTATTCTTTGACTTTTTAAGAAACGTTTTTTCTTCCTTCTCTTTTCCAAAAGATGTTGATGTTCCTTGATAGACGTCCTTCTTTCAATTAGTTTTAACCAGTGGTTTTAATGGTTTTGACCCTTGTGAGTACAGTGAGCTCTAAGCGGATGCAATCAATGAGAACGGAAGTGAACAATAAAACTAAGAGGAAATTTGCTATATTAATTTTTATTATTTCAAAAAAGTCGTCGAAATCATTCTTAAATTACGTGCAATTATACAAGGTGTATATAAAGCACACTGTTTTGAAATGGCTCAATATTTTAAATTATCTCTCAATTCTTCCTAAGTAGAATTTGTTTCAGCCAAGGCAGTTACCTCAGACATAATATTTAAACGTGAGAGGGGTGAAGTTTTATCTTTGTTGGAATAAAGAACATCCATCTTTTAGTGTCAATATCTTGATGTGTTAGTTACGTCATGGCCGCCATGTTGGATGATTTTTTCAACAAATTTATTTGCAAAAGATTTAAGGATTTACCAACAAATATAGTATTATTAACAATGCAAATGCTATAAAACATGCCAAAAATTCAATTGGCCACTGCATGTTCCTTCACTCCTAGAGTAGGGGTTGCGCACCACTTACGAGAAATGCAGTGCTGTAGAACTAAATTTATCAGATGGGGGCTCTCTTGATAAAGCTGAAGCTATGAAATTATGAAAAATTAACCATTTCAAAGGTAGAAGGGGGGCTTCACTAAATGTGAAGCAAGTTAAGAAGAGCCTACAGTTAACGATCTTTTCTACCACAGACTCAATATACTCAGTCAATTGTATTGAACGTTGAAACCCAATAAATTTTTTATATACAATGCTTAATTAAAAAATGATATTTGAGCAGTTATTATGATTGCTGCTCTTTGAATACATTATCAACTCTTAACGGTTAGCTTTCGTTATCCTCCCGTAAATACTTGATGAAATCTCTCCTGTCTAAGAGTATAGGCGTTTGCTTGTTGTTGTTGTCTTGTTTGTGTATGTATTACCATTAATTCGAACGAAAACAATTTTAAAACGCTTGGAAATCTTGAGCAAGGTTCCACCATACTACTTTAATACTTTTACGTTTTGTGTCACAATGAAAATTTCTTGAAAGCATAGAAAGCTATCTGTAAAGGCTCTTAGCAAATCACAGTCGAGATTTAACCAACATTTTATAATAAGAACACTTTTTTGTACTACTATAAGTCTATAACACTACAACAAAAGGTTACAATGAATGAAATGCCCAATTTTCCCATTGCCATTTAATTAGCATCTTTTTAAAATCTATTCGCTGATCAAGTCACTGATCTGATAATAGACTGGATATAGCTTCTACAGATAGCAAAAGTGAAGCCTAATTATATATGCAAATTCACTTCCGGGTACCACAGTGAGATACAAATTACTATAGAAATGTATGGGGGATAACGTTTACAAACATGAATTTTTGAATATTTAAGACCTTTCGCGACTCCTTACTAACCTCAAGTATTAGTCATGAATGGATTTGCCATCAAAATGATTCTGATAGCTGTAAAATATCGACTTTAGTGTTGATTTAAAAGTTGTACATGCGAGAATGTATTTTGTCCCATCGGTGCCAATGGAAGATAGTTCACTGCTCGCTTTTCAATTTCTAAGGCATTTATGATCTAATATACATTTCAATTCTTTAGAAATGAGACGAGTTACTTTTTATCATTCTTCTTTATGTCGAGAGATTGTTGACATATTATTTCTGTTTTAACTTCATTTTTTCATGAGCAAAGTACTACTGATGCTTAAACAAGACAAGTTTATTTAGTTTCTTTCGCACTTTACCTTTAGTTTCCATTTTTGTAGTTGTTTTTGTCAAGTGGTATCAAACATGTGGTAGCAAACATGAGTTCGTTACCTAGAGTTCGTTGACGCACATGTTTGCTTAAAGGATATTGTTCCGTTTGGCATAAACTTCAGTTAAACACAAGTGTACCCATATAAGTTCCTAAACATGCTGTACACTCAATTTTACGAAAAATTGACCCAGAAGGAACCTAGGGGAAAAAGGGTCATCGGCTTAAAAGAAGAACTTGCTATAATCCGTCTTAACTACAACGTGATGAATGATGGTGACTAAAACACCACACGAGTACATACGAGCACGTCCGAGTACATACGAGTGACATACGAGTACATACGAGTGACATACGAGTACATACGAGTGACATACGAGTGACATACGAGTACATACGAGTGACATACGAGTGAAATAAGAGTGACATACGACTATATAGGGTTAGGGTTAGGGTTAGGGTTAGGTTTAGGGTTACGGTTAGGGTTATGGTTGGGGTTAGGGTTAGATATATATATATATATATATATATATATATATAAGTTTGAAAATTTGTAATCCAGGCATTTAATACATAAAAGATAAAAGTTTCTCCGGATTTTAAGTGATTTTTTTTTTATTTTTATTTTCATTCTGATGAAGGCTCGAAGCAACGAGTCGAAAGCTCAATAAAAATCACTTAAAATCTGGAGAAACTTTTATCTTTTATAAATACATATATAACTCTAACCCTAACCCTAGCCCTAACCCTAACCCTAACCCTAACCCTATATAGTCGTATGTCACTCGTATGTCAGTCGTATGTCAGTCGTATGTACTCGTATGTCACTCGTAAGTACTCGTATGTACTCGTATGTACTCGTGTGGTGTTTTAGTCACGATCCGTGATGAATACCAGTAACGGTCCAGCAATGCATCTGGCACAACAGCAGTAAAAAAGTGCGACATCCACTTTAAAAATAGAAGCAGTAAAAAAACATGATGTCTGTGCGACATCCACTTTACATCATAGTTGTAGTCAATATTTCGTGTTTTTCGCTCAAAACTGGCCATGAGCCTTTTAATTGTAGCAATGCTAAATGCTTAACATACTGTATTTCATGATGTTTTCTTGAAAACATGCGAATTTCTTCATACTTAAATCCTTCATAGAAATTAAAGAAGATAAGTCTTTCAATGGAAAATTCTTCGTGCAAGTAGTCTGAAAATGTGAAATTTATAATAAATTGGTAAAAAATGCATTAAAAGAGTTCTGAATCCACCGAATCGAATCGTTTGAAGCCACTTTGAAATTAATATTTTGTCGGCATATTGTATATTGTTTTATATTTCACTTCCGCAGTGGAGTTTTGTTTATTGCCGTGAATTTTGTTTATTGACGGGAGTTTCGTTTATTGCTGTGAAGTTTTGTTTATTGCCGTGGAGTTTTCTTTATTGCCGTAGAGTTTTGTTTATACCGTGGAGTTTCGTTTATTGCTGTGAAGTTTTGTTTATTGCCGTGGAGTTTTCTTTCTTGCCGTGGAGTTTCGTTTATTGCCGTGGAGTTTTGTTTATTGTCGTGGAGTTTTGTTTATTGTCGTGGGGTTTGTTTATTGCATTGGAGTTTCGTTTATTGCCGTGGAGTTTTGTTTATTGTCGTGGAGTTTTGTTTATTGTCGTGGGGTTTTGTTTATTGCATTGGAGTTTCGTTTATTGCCGTGAAGTTTTGTTTATTGCCGAAGAGTTTAGTTTATACCGTGGAGTTTCGTTTATTGCTGTGAAGTTTTGTTTATTGCTGTGGAGTTTTGTTTATTGCTGTGGAGTTTGTTTATTGCTGTGGAGTTTTGTTTATTGCTGTGGAGTTTTGTTTATTGCTGTGGAGTTTTGTTTATTGCTGTGGAGTTTTGTTTATTGCCGTGGAGTTTTGTTTATTGTCGTGGAGTTTTGTTTATTGTCGTGGGTTTTGTTTATTGCATTGGAGTTTCGTTTATTGCCGTGAAGTTTTGTTTATTGCCGTAGAGTTTTGTTTATACTGTGGAGTTTCGTTTATTGCTGTGAAGTTTTGTTTATTGCCGTGGAGTTTTGTTTCTTGCCGTGGAGTTTTGTTTATTGCCGTGGAGTTTTGTTTCTTGCCGTGGAGTTTCGTTTATTGCCGTGGAGCTTTGTTTATTGTCGTGGAGTTTGTTTATTGCCGTGGAGTTTTGTTTATTGTCGTGGAGTTTTGTTTATTGCCGTGGAGTTTTTTTTATTGCATTGGAGTTTCGTTTATTGCCGTGACACTTGTGGACCACCGTAAATTTGTATCTCGCCGTGGTACCCGGAAGTAAAATTTGCATATATAATTAGGCTTCACTTTTGCTACCTGTAGAAGCTATATCCATGGCAATAAACAAAACTCCACGCAATAAACAAACTCCACGGCAAAAAACTCCACGGTAATAAACAAAACTCCGGCAATAAACTCTACGGCAAAATGAATGCACAGCATGTTTAGGAACTTATATGGGTACACTTGTGTTTAACTGAAGTTTATGCCAAACGGAACAATATCTTTTGAGCAAACATGTGCGTCAACGAGCTCCTAATTTATCTCTCAAGGTCATCATAGTTGTAGTCAAAATTCGCGTTACTAATAGAGGGTCTGTCTAAAACCAGTTTATTATCAGATCAGTGAGATCAAGTGCGTTGGTCACGTGCATGGGCATTCTTCGCGCGTGGAAAACGACAGCACGTGGGAAAAAAGATGGAGGTCGAAGAAGAAAGTCTTCGTTCTTTAAATTTGTTGATTAAAAACGTGGAGAAAAATGTCGAACACTTTATAACTCACGATGAAAATCAAAGTTCGAAAATTCTTTCTGGCCTACGCGAAATTTACTACCTCACTAAAAAGGAGGAAGCTGTTTGTGGGCGAAGTATCAAAGGATGTCCTTTCGAGAGACTACAACTTGATGATACGAATTTCGATGTAGAAATAATATGGCAGCAAATACAGCTTCAAAATGAGTGCCTTTTACCTAAGTTGAGTGTAGAAGTTAAAACTTTGGTTAATAAACCAGGAACTGTATTTTTAAGGAAAGAAAAACCGAAAATGCTAGCGACCGATTTAAGAACAAATAAAATGGAAAGTGATTCTCAAATATTGGCTCAAAGTGATTCTGAGAAGGGCGATTGTATTATTGATAATGATAGTTTATGTGTTGAGGAAGTCAGACATGAAGGGTTAGAAATCCCAAACATTACAGACAAAGTCCAAGCCAGGATGAACGAAGGCTCAGTGGTGGATGATACATTTTTTAAATTGGATGAGATGGAAAGATTCTTGGAAAGTAAATATGCTGGTGATGGTGAAATGTCAGATGAAGATGATGATGAAGAAAATGTTGATTATTTCATGGATGTTAATGAATCAAAGGGATTGTCTAAGGATAAAAGGTAATAGGTATCACAACATCGTATCATTATGACTGAAGTTGTTCAACATACAAAGTTTTATCTCTTACATCATTTTTTCTTTTGTTTAATTCTCAACATCAAGAAGCATGATGCCTTTTTGCAATAATTTATTACGATGTTAATTCTGAAAATAGTTAGATGTCTACCTGCACACATTGCACTCTTTTTTAAATTTTTGAATTTTAAGAAATGGTGCTCATTGCTGTTGCTTTACTTGAGTTCATATGTATTGATTGAGCTAACTTTTTCGAAGGGCTGTAACCTGTAAAAAGAACATTGTTTTGTATTACATCATTGTGATGTGATTCTTGCATTCTTATCATAAAAGTGGCAAGTTTTTAGTTTTCTTTAGAGCAGGTATAGTTATGTGCAAGAACTTGAGAACTATAGTTATCATCAAAAACTTGACAATTCAACTTGGTATCTAGTATGCATTTCAAGTCTTTTTTACCATGACTTGGTCTTTTTTTACCATGACTTGGTTTTTTTTACCATGACTTGGTCTTTTTTACCATGACTTGGTCTTTTTTACCATGACTTAGTCTTTTTTACCATGACTTGGTCTTTTTACCATGACTTGGTCTTTTTTACCATGACTTGGTCTTTTTACCATGACTTGGTCTTTTACCATGACTTGGTCTTTTTACCATGACTTGGTCTTTTTACCACTTGGTCTTTTTACCATGACTTGGTCTTTTACCATGACTTAGTCTTTTTACCATGACTTGGTCTTTTTACCATGACTTGGTCTTTTTTACCATTACTTGGTCTTTTTTACCATCACTTAGTCTTTTTTACCATGACTTGGTCTTTTTTACCATGACTTGGTCTTTTTACCATGATTTGGTCTTTTTTACCATGACTTGGTCTTTTTACCATGACTTGGTCTTTTTACCATGACTTGGTCTTTTTTACCATGACTTAGTCTTTTTTACCATGACTTGGTCTTTTTTACCATGACTTAGTCTTTTTACCATGACTTGGTCTTTTTTACCATGACTTGGTCTTTTTTACCATGACTTAGTCTTTTTTACCATGACTTGGGCTTTTTTACCATGACTTGGTCTTTTTTTATACAGTCCGTGTACTTTTATGACCAATGTAAAATCTAATTTTCAATCACGATTTCTTTCAGCAATGCCATTGAAAACATCATGTATTCTGACTTATTTGATTATCCTGAGGATCTTAATACCAAACTGGGTGATGATAAAAAGGATGACAATGAAAAACACATTCTTGAAAAAGTGGCAAAGCATAATGATAATGAGCGTGATACAAACAAGCTTAATGAGGACAATTTTAACGATGGCAGATCCAAATCAACTTTGGAGAAACAGCAGGAAAAGGTAAAACTTTATGTAAATCATTGTATATATAAAATGCATATGACCTCATTTTGTGTTTCTATTGATTCTGATGGATCTCAAAAAGCTGTTTGAGAATTTGTAAATTTTTGGGTAAAATGTAGATTTACAAAGTTACAACGGCTCAAATACAGTTTTTGGGAAAAAAAAGGAGCAAACACTGCAGGACTGAAACCCAGGACTACATCCGAGGAAATTATTTCAGTCAATTTTACAATATGCCTTTACTGTACTTGCGTAGTGTTTTCATTGAGTATTTATGGAAAATTTATGACTCTCTTACAAAATAGTAAGAAAGCCTCTTCGATTATAATTGTGCAATAAAACTTTATTGAATTTGGTTTTTGCATGTTATCAAAACTATTTGGAGCTTGATCAATGTTATCTGCCTCAGCTTTGCTTTGACTCAGGTCTGAATAGTCATGCTCAACCTCATTTAATATTTGTTAAAAATGCCTACTGCCATGGCAATTGGGAGTAGTGTTTAGTGGAGCACTTCGAAAATTTCTCAATCATTTTAAAATAGAATTTAAAATCCCATATAATGTGGTTAGAGTTAGCTCCCAAAATCTAATGCAAACTTGTCCACCTCCACCCCCACCCCTACAAAACCATGTTAGATGAAAACTAGTCCACCTCCACCCACCCCACCCCCCTACAAAACCATCTTAGATCACTGCTTGATGATGCAAAGAAATTTTGTGGAGATTTATTAGTTGCTTTATTGAAACATTGCTGCAATGGTATTGTTAAGGTGAAAAAGCAGATTGCGGCATTGGAACAAAGTAATATTGCGACAAAAAGTTGGCAACTATCAGGAGAGACATCGGCATCTGTACGACCGCAAAATAGTCTGCTGGAGGAAGTGTTGCAGTTTGATCACACTATGGCTCCTGGTTAGTGAATAATAGATCTATGGAAACTAAATATCTGAAATTTTTCATGTTGCCCTCTTTGGTATTTAAAGGCTGAAACACACTAGGCAGTCGCTTTAGTCACGCATCTTAAACTACCGCTCTGCGTGGTTACTAAGCTGGTAGCGTAGTCGCGTCAGCTAGTCGCTTTGAAATTCAACATGTTGATTATAAGGTTAAATAGTTGGAGTGTTATTAAACAAAAAAGATTGTAGCATAATGCTTTATCCAACAACTACAAACAATAACGACCTTATCCGACAACATTTGAAAATTAACCTTCCATTCCTCTTCCTTGTAAACGAGACAAATCTACTCAAAAGTAGAGAGCCTTACGCTACAAGTCCCGGGCTTGTGACCGGTATAGCAGAGTAAAAAGGTGAAAGGTTTATTATAGATTAATCAACTGAATATTCCTGTTCATTTTTGTTTGGAAGCATGTTAAACAGTTCACATGGACTAAGCTCGAATTCCATATTAAATATCAGTAACATAATCTGGTGTTAATGTTAGACAATACATCATTGCCCTTCAGTGAAAGCATCCCTCTTTTCACTGGAAAAGAATGAATCTAATATCGATGTTAAACATATTGTAGATTGTCACTAGCATCCCGCTTGCCGACATGAATGAGTATAATTATAAGGTTAAATAGTTGGAATTTTACGTATTAAACAAAAAAAATGGTATCATAATGCTTTATCTATTAGTGGAAGGTTAATTTTCAAATGCCTTAGATAAGGTCGTTATTGTTTATGGTTGTTGAATAAAGCATTATGCTACCATTTTTATGTAGGTAGAGGACAAAATAGGTGAATTTACACTGGAATCATTCAATTTTTATATGACTTATCGAATAGGGACGATAGGAGCTACAAACTAAAACTTATTAACCTCAATGCACAGAATAAGATTGTCCACGATACACGCATAATGGGCTATGATCATATTGGCGTGTTTTAACTGGCTTGTTCTCTTTGTCCACATAGAAGTTTGTACTTAGTAAATATTCATATATTAGTAGCTATAATAAACGCCAAAATAAAGCTTAAGTGATGTCTGTGTCTGTAAGAAACAGAAATCTCTGCCATGTTCAATAGACGCCACGTTGATAGTCGCGATGCTCGCTCACATGTTTGTTTCTGTCGTTCAACCTACTGACGCGTGCGCATTAATTCGCTTTGGACGCGCGACTGAAGCGACTGCTTTGTGTGTTTCAGGCTTAAGAAATGGAAACATTTTCGTGTTTCTTTTGAGTTTCAGTAACACATGGAAAGTTTAGGAGAAACTAAAAGTGTGTTTATGAGCAATTTTGATATTCTCCCAAACTTTTACTATTGTTTCTATAACTCAATAGGAACAAGTAAATAAGAATTTATATGTACGTACGTAACCAAGCCTCTGTAGCGTACGATACTGACTAGTGTGTATCTTGTGCCATTTTAAAAGTGCTTACTTAAAGTGTATTTTCATTATATAGCTCCTGTTATAACAGAAGAAAGAAGCAAAAATTTAGAAGATATTATTACTCAGAGAATTAAAGATAACGTAAGTTGTTCAAGGAATTCTTTGATGATTATCTTTTGGTATATCCAGGAGGTATTTGATGATCACGAAACTCTCCGTTAATGAATGACGCTATCCCGCATCACGTTATTCCTTCTGGGTCACACTTTCCAGTGTTAGTCACGTTATCCTGTATTGGTCACGCTAACCGTCCTATTTCACGCTATCCTGTATTGGTCACGCTAGCCGTCATAGGTCACGCTTTCCTGTATTGGTCACGCTAACCTCCTAGGTCACGCTTTCCTGTATTTTCACGCTAACGTGCATTGGTCACGCCATCCTGCATTGGTCACGCTATCCTGTATTGGTCACGCTATTCTGAATTGGTAACGCTTTTCATTTGGGTCACGCTATCCTGCATTGGTCACGCTTTTTTGCATTGCTCACGCTATTCGGCATTGATCACGCTTTTCATTTGGGTCACGCTATCTTGCTTTAAGCCTGGTATTCATTGGCGACATAAGCTTAAGTACAAGATTATTAAAACTCTCCGTTCATCTAATGCTTATTTATGCTTATTCTTATGCATGCTTTTGCTTATGTCGCTAGTGAAGACCAGGCTTTGTCACGCTATCTTGCATAGGTCATGCGATCCTCAATGACATCTCCTGCATCAGTCATTCTTACTCGTATGTCTCATACTATCCTTCGTGGGTAATGTTATCTTGTTTTTATAGCGCCATCGTGCATGGGTCCTTTTATTCCCTCGGTATCACATGCTATCATACGTGGTCTCTTCTATAGGCATGGGATGACGTGGAGCGAAAAGAAAAGCCAGTAAAGAAAGTTGAATACAAGAAAGCTCACCCAATAAGTCAAGAGAAAAGTAAAATGAGTCTGAGTGAAATATATGAGAGAGAATATCAACAACAACAGGTATGTTTTGACTTAAGAAACGAGCAATTTGTCATAGATTTTCAAATGTGAATCTTGAAATTTTTTATAAAGTTTTTTGTAAGATTTACATGTATTTTCTTAGAATCCAGGGGGAGAAAAGGAAAACAAAGAACATGTTGAAATTAAGAAATTGATGAAATCTCTCTTTTCGAAATTGGATGCTCTAACCAACTTTCATTTTACACCCAAACCGGTGAGGCTTAAACACTTTAAGTACATGTATTCTTACATGTATTCTGCTGCTTGTCTTCTTACATGCATTGTTCCATGTATTTTTTAATGTATTCTTACATGTATTCTTACGTGTATTTTTACATGTATTCTTACATGTATTCTGCTGCTTGTCTTCTTACATGTATTCTCCCGTATATTCTCACATACATACATTCTCCCATATATTCTTACGTAAATGTATTCTCCCATGTATTCTTACATGCATTTTTCCATGTATTTTTACATAGAGATTCTAAATAATACTAGAGGTGGCATCTTAATATCTATAGTTAAAAATATGGTACGCGTTTTTTGGGTGGGCAAAATTCATTCCCGGATGTTAAGCTACCGTGGAAAACTATGATTTTTCACTTTTTTGTATATATTATGCGTAAATACTATAGTGATTACTACCACAGTCTAATTGTTGAACAATTCTTGCCTTTTTATCGTAATTTTAGATGGTTTCAGCCACTCATTCAGTAAATTATAAGTCCGTGAGTCATTGCTTGATAGGAAGACCTTGTTCGTCTTAAATTCAACTGCTAACAGACTTCAAAACATACATTTGTCATCCATACCGAAAAATTATTAAAACGGTTGAACTATGTGATTATGTAGGTTGTAAAAAGAGAAAAACAGAAAAGAATAACATAAGTTTTCATTGCGTATAGTTTAATTAAAACATACAAAGCCTACGGAGATTATAAACAACAGATAATCATAATAACAGCTCGCTAAAACAATTACTAACGCTTTAAACTGACAAATTTTCTTGATGCTCGTACTAAAGAGCAAAAAACTTACTAAATATATTAAGAAAGAATCCAAAACTCGAAGCAAACGGCAAAAAACGTCATTTGTTTACTTCGTGTTTTACCGGGACATAAATTTTCCCCCTAATTCACGCGTCGCCTAAAAACGTCATCAATACCACCTCTAGTCTTATTTATAATCTCTATGTTCTTACATGCATTCTCCCATGCATTTTTATATGTATTCTTACATTAGATCTTATATGTTTTCTTACACATATTCGACATGCATTCTTACATGTATTCTTACATGCATTTTTACATGTATTCTTACATTAGATCTTATATGTTTTCTTACACACATTCGACATGCATTTTTATATGTATTCTTACATGCATTTTTACATGTATTCTTACATTAGATCTTATATGTTTTCTTACACACATTCCACATGCATTTTTACATGTATTACATGCTTCCTTGCTAGTATTTTTCATGCATTCTATTTGCATGATTCAATTCAACGTGAAACGTTTGTAATGTACTTTTTTGGTAAACCATGATTATTTTCAATCTGCAGTTAAAGTCTGAAGTGACGATCGTATCCAACGTGCCGTCAATCAATATGGAGGTACACACCGGTAAACGTGAATGAGGCGGCACTACTCGCTCCAGAAGAAATTTATGACAAACAGAAAACTGAAATAAAGCTCAAACTGAAATGAAAAACAAGACAGAACGCGAAAGCGTCGTTTGAAGAAAGCGAAACAACGTACAGCTGCAAAACATAAAGAGAAAATACAGAAAGTGATCGAGAAAACAAATCCAGGTTTGTAGGAATATCATGATGATAGTGTCATTAACTTTTTTTGGAAATTTTTTTTGTGCTGTTTTTGTGCTCTGGGAAGGAAATAGACAATGGATTGAGTGGAACAGTATCGAGATTAAATTTAAATTTTTTAAAAGTAAAATTTTTGTCGAGCTAACTTTTTTCCAACAAAATTTTCAGTCGATTGTGGTTATTCTCTTTTTTGGTGGTGAACATTTCATTTATTGGAATGTAGCTATAAGCTAAAATGTCTAATCAATGTGTAAAATTTGTATCGAGTTCGCTAGTTTCTCGTGTTTAAGAACTCGCTACACTTGTAAAAATATGGATATTGTCGTAAGAAATCTCCACGACTTCAACGATAATGTAAAGTTGAAATATTTCAAACGCTCTTTTAATTTTGTTGTCTGTGGGATATGTTAAAGGGAGCTCGTTGTTTTGAAGTAAGTCCTGTTGCAATAGTGATTTGTACAACAAAGTTTATTGCTGTGAAGTAGTTAAAGTTGCTACAGTGATTTGTTGAACGAAACTTATTGTGCTTTTTTAGGTCTAGGCAATAAATACAGTAAGAAGAAAGCGCTGGAAACACTAAAGAAAGACAAGTCCAGCATCATCGTCAACGGCAAATCTCGAGATAGCTCGCTGACGTCATCTTCGGGATTCTTTGCTAAGCTTCAAGATAATGTACGAGAGGAAATTGTGAGGAAAAGCGAAGGAGGACGTCAAGTTAAAAAGGCAAAAGTATCGTCCGCTAGTTGTAAGTTTTGATTGAAGTCACTGTTGTAATTAATGCCGAGATGGTTTGTGGTTGTTAGCGAAGGTTTTCCGTTTTGGAGAAAGAAGCTTTACTGAGGCCTTTTTCACTGAAATAATGCTACGCGTCTTTTTGCAAAATTTGTAGGCAAAATTTGTTTCCCCATCCCATGTTTACAATGGAACCTTAACTGTCTTATATTGACGTTGAGTCAAACAATACATCAATTGAATTTTTATTCAAAACCAACAAATATTACTTATATTTGCTCTTATATTGAAGTGACATTTTATAATTTCTAACCGAAAGATTAAAACTGCGAGGAATCTGTACTGTCCTGATTATTATTAAATATTTAAGAAATTGAAAGCATTTTCTGAGTTTCTCTATAGAGTTATAGAAACACGCGGGAAAGTTTGGGAGAAGCAAGAAATTGCGTGGCCCGCACGAACACGAAGTGCGAGTGTTTTCGAACACTTTCGAGTTTTTCCTTTATAATTCCATAGGAACAAGTAAAATGTTTTCTATTTCCTTCATAAAGTAGGCTACTTTAAGTAGCCTTTTAAAAGCAAGATTGCAAAAGTAAATTTATTGATCTTAATTACATTCGTATTGTTTGTATTTTTCTCTTAAATTTTTTCCGCACGAACCACACAACCTACGAGACTGAAATTTCCGTGTTTCTTTCTACAGAGATATAGAAACACGCGGTTTTTTCAGCATTCTACCAATCAGCGCCCTTGCTTTCTTTCAAATTTGCCGCCAAAACCACGCAACCTGCAAGATTTTATCAAAAATGAAATTGCCATGTTTCTCTAGAGTTAGCTACACAAACACCGGGTTTTTTCAGCATATAGCAATGAGTGCCCGTATTTTAAAGGCTATTTTACAAAACGCTCTATGAAATAGTATTATAACCTATTGCTCTCAAATTTTCTCGGGTATTTTTTATGTCTCTAAATTTTCCTAAACTTTCCCACTTGTTTCTATAACGCAATAGAAACACGGAGAATGCTTTTGTTTTGAAACATGGTAGCTATGATGTACGAGTGAACTCGTTTCCTTTAAGCATCATCCTGTAAACTCAAGATTTGAGTTATTTTACCAAGAGATAAGATTTTCAAAAGCAATATTTCAGCTTTACTTCAAAGTCATTATGAAGCAATGTGATTATTTACATCATATGTTGCACTCCGCCCTTAATCAAATACATTGTCGCCTCATATGATCATCTCCAGAAAAAAATTTTAAATTTTAAATAGAGTATGCTGTATAAACACCGCGGTTAGAAAGCTTTTGCTGTATTTTCTTGTGATGTGAACACAAAATTTACTTGGATGAAGTTTATAATTATTTTGAAGGACGGCACGTTGCTGTCCAATTTGACAAACGAAAATTATTCTTTAAAGCAGCTACCTACATACGTACGTCGTTATTGACACAACATATTACGTATTTGCATGTCTGTTTTCACGGCGTGTTTGTCCACAGATGTTCAAGGTCACCCACAGCTTCCTCAGTTTAAATGAACGTAACTGCCTACTAATATGTACGTATTTTAATAAAGTTATTGGCGTTCAGTGCTCATAAATAAACGATGACCCACCGACAATGCATTAAAGTAAAGAACAAATCCCATTTCCCAAATCTATGTATTTTTCATCAAAATGTCTTACTTTATCGGAATTTTACAAATTTAAGTGTTTGTGTTGGTTCTTTTTTATTCGTTTCAAAGTTCCAACTGACTGTTTTCTTGAACAGGATGTTAAAGAATACATCTTTTACGTAAAAGTATTAATTGTTTTTCATTCTAATTTATTCAATAAGCAAATACCACATTGTGCAATTACGATTTTGTCGCATTGTTTCCCACGGAACGGCTTCAAAATTCATAAAATTATCTAAACGGTGTAAGTAATTTCAAAAAGCCATGATACAAACCAATGTTTAAATTAACTGTTTAATAAATAAAAGGTCACTTAATTGCATCAAAGTAAGCCGCTCATTAATTTTTAGACTCTTTTATTTTTGCCGGTCAGTGGCAATTTAGCTAAACAATGACATGTATAGCTATTTTCTATTCGTCCTGAATTTGATTGCTTGCTGATCTATTAGGCAGCCTGGAGGGCATATTTCTTACAATTTAATGGAATATACGTGTTTTTAATTCAACTTCCATGCTATATATATGTCATCCAGTGTTCCTCCCTTCCCTTTGAAATGAGAAATACCTCGGAAATATGGAGTGTGTGTATTGCCCGAAATGTCATCTCGAACAATAACCATCGTGAAACTTGTGACGTCAAACCTCTCACAGTTTCCCAAAAATCATTTTAATTAACGACGGAATTCTGCTTATAAAACAACTGACGTTTTTGCGCCATTCATTGCATTCGTTGTCATTGTGTTGTAATTACAAAGAAAAGAAAAGGTTTAATTCGCTAAATGTCTTCACCATTGGTTTCTTGTGTTTTGGAAAAAACTCTTTTTTTATTGCTGACAAAAGCACGCGATAAATTTGCCAACAATCTTCAGCAAGGTGATGTCGTCGATGATGTTCTTGTTGAAATGCTCGAAAAGAAAGTTGATGAACTCAGTCGTAAGATTGGCGATGATTATCGCAAAGATTTGCTAGTCAGTGTCAGTTGGTTAAAGAAGGCGTCGCCGAGTTATTGAAAGCGTCATCAAAGGCACGAAAAAAGCTCAAATTGAATCTTGTATCGGCGTGTGAATCGCCAAAAACTCCACCGATAACTTGTGACTTATTTTCGCAATTTCACTTTAACGACATAGTAAAGCTATCCAAAGTTGTCGAAAATCTCAAAGTTTATTCGAACAACGAGTATCGCTACGCCAGTGCTCGGTTTACAGACGCACGAAAGAAGTCACACACAGTTTTCTTAAATAGGAGTTTGACAAGCGCCGATCGCGTTTTGGCCGCGCAGGTTCGAATCGTATCGGAATTATTAGAATGCATAGAAACACCGGAAATGGCAATCACATCCTGTCAATTGTTTCTTGAAGAATTTCATAGGGAAAAATTTGTCTCGAAAATTTTTTCGGCCTTCTTCAAGGGTGGTTTTAAATCCCATTTCCGAAGAAAAAAACGCTTCAATTTGGTCGAGTCGGTAATGGTTATGAATTACATATTCTTCAACTATTGTCAGACTTTTTCTAGTGAAATGGGTCAAAGGTTGACTTGGGTTAGTGGAATTATGCTTTCAGACGGACGTGTTTTTCAGCCTATTATCCACTGGCACGAAGTAGTAGCCAAGATGTCATTGTGCAACGACACCTTGAATCAACCTAGAAAATATTTCAGTCTAAAGGAAGCTATACATCCAGTTCTGTCTGCAGTCAATGCTCGCGGAGAAATCGTCACGAAATCGGTCGGTGAAAGTGGGGATGACGAGATGAGCATTATTTTGATTCTTATGAACACGATACAAAGACCGTGCCATTGCCCGAGTACAAAGAAATGGATTCTTGGGAATTCCCAGAGAAATGTCGTATTCGTGGATTAGCTTGTGATAATATTGGCAACGTGTATGTGATTTGCGCCCACTTTATGTGTTGTGATGGTCCGGTCAAGTATAGACTAGTCGTTTTAAGCCCCGACTTTGCGACGGTTCTTCGCGAAAGATGGTTGGAATTCCTGGATTCTGAGCAGGGACTTTTCTTTCGTGTTGCGTTGACCTACAGCAAGAATATTGTTTTCATTCACTGTGATTCTTTGTTCCTATGCAACAATGATGGCGTGTTGCAGAAAAAAGTTAAAATTGATCCCGGACTACTGCCCTGCTTGAATATTTCACATCGCAACGAAATAATGATTTCTTCAAGCGATGGCACAGCAATTGACTTCTACTCGGAAGATGGATGCTTCAAGTGGAGTACAAAGTTGCCTGCGGGCCATTTGGTTTTCAGCATTTCCTTCCATTACACGCTTTCAAAACTTGTCGTTGTATCCTGGTTCAGGAAAGGAAATCTTTCCTTTTGCTTACCTACAATGCGTCGGGTAGGCTGGATTCTTTCACTCGTGTGTCAAGAAGAAATGATTTTGAAGGTGAGCATCCTTGTGTTGCATCTCATCCTAACGGACATGTTGTTTTAATTCGAGCTAACAGTATTTTATATATATGAAGTTTGCTTATGAAAAGTACAGCTTTCACTTGGAGGTTCCAGTGTTCCGCCAAATAATTTTGTAAGTCGAAATACCTTCATAACTGTTGTATTGGTTTGGTGTTTCCATCTAACAGAAATATAAATGGAACTTCGTTTAAGGTGTTTTACGTCGCAATAGCAGATCCAGATTAGTCTAAAAAAATTATAGTTGCTCAATTTTAAATTCACAGTAGCTACTATCGGAAAAACACTATCGGTTTTGAATTTTCAAAGAATATTATTTTACCAATGGATTTGCCTGTAAGGTACTTAGAAATGTAAACATATGCCAAAATGTGCTGTTGTAATTTATTTTGACTTGCCCTAGATCCGCCAATTTTACGTCGTAAATGTTTTATTGAAAAAATTTTCACATAAGCTGGACCGTACATTGATTATTCCCATAAAATACCGATTGAAATTTAAGATATACTTGACAATTTTAAAACTTTTGGGGGTCTGTGGCATGCTCCCCGGACTTTGGGGAAAGAAATTATACTAACCGTAGAATTTCAAAGACGTTTCTCCTACAAAAATTCAAAATTTGACGCCCGTTAGCCATTTCAGCTAAAATTCAACAGCTGGGGATGGGTGTCCCCTCCCCCCTGCCAGCACGCTACTGACTTCCTCTGACATGTTAATATTTATATATTTGATTATTTGTTTATTTATTTATTAATAATTTATTTACTTATTTATATATTTATTGCTTTATGTAAATACGGTAATGTGTTTACCTGGATTCTAATATACTTTCAAAGTAAATAACTCCTCTATACTTATAAAAATACATGAAAAAATCCTGATTGCGTTTTTCCTTATGACAATGCTTGACTAATATAATTACAATTAGCACTGCAATTTGGCATTTGGGAGGATTTAGCTCTTCATACTTTTGCCAATAGTACTTGTAACACTACTCTCTTGTTGGTATGAATAATAACGCTACTTAATGTTTCTCAAATGTGTGATCAATTAAATGGCCGGTGGCCCGATCCAAACACATGGGGATATTGCTCGAATTAAAACCGTAAATAACACTAGCCCTCGGCATATTTTTCCACACTCTTTCATGTTTTGATCGGATGGACAAAGCGAAAATTATTTGATCACCAGAGCACGAGTATACGCCTAAGGAGGCGTCTTGTTTATAATAAAATAACCTTTTACATACATGAGATTGAATAATTGCTCAAAAAACATGTTTTTATCCAACCATAACATTACGAGATTCCATGAAGTTTATTGTTGATGCCTTGATGGAGTCACAATTTTGTCAAATTAGATTCTAATTTTTATAAATTTGTTGCTATTTTCTGTTGATATGACTAACTGTAAGAAGACGATGAATGAGATAATGCATGAAAAAACTATGGCAACATTGTTGCTTGCTAAAATTTCCTTAGAATAATTATTAATTAAGAGACATAAATTATTTTAGGATTGTTTGCGAAGTATTATGAAATTTTAAAATTTTATGATAGAAAATGGTACAACTTTTATAACTACAGCATACAAATATAAAAATGTTAACTAAAATCAATGTTTAAAATATCCATGATCGTTTTCAAATTACTAGCTTGAAAAATAAAAGAAAGAAAAAAAGAAAAGGGAAAGTCAGGTGTAAAATTTTATTGTAATGTTACCCAATTCCTTGATCAACCAATGGACCAAAAAATATTGAAGAGTGTTGCAAATATCTGAAAATTGCGTCAAAAAAAAAACATTTTTCTAAAATAAGAAACGGAAGTTACAATGACAAGACCTGAACTTTTTAGTCTGTTTTAGTCATCCGGAAATCAAAGTAAATTCTGACTAGGGGAATTTTCATAACATTTGTCTTTCAAAGGATTTATATATTATTTTGCGCATTCTTGGGTGAGACATTGATTCAATTTAAAATAATGAGTTTTTGTAGCTGGTCCGGTGGCGAAAAGTACAAGAATCACTTCGAGGAGGGTACGTATGTGATGATATTGATATACGTAACGGTACATCGACATAAAATAAAACTGATTCATTGCTTCATTTCAAAGTTTCCTTGTTTCATGTATCGGCTTAATCTGTTTTAATAATTGCCTAGCATGAAATGTCCGAGTTTCCCTATAACTTCAGCGGTAATTATGAACTTTATAAAATGTATTAATTACGTCATGTCGATGTGAAATTGAGGGAAGGATTTGTTTTATGGATATGGTTTACATTAAAATAATATTTCCATGTTAATCTTCCAGAGTTTGCATACGGTGATGAGAAAATTTTTGGAAGCGTCAAATCATTAATCACGTTGATTCATTTTTAAAGTGCGCATCTCGACAATTTAGTTGCCTTAGGAAGGGTTGTTATTAAACAATACTGATTTTTCTGATTAACTCACCTGCTTACCACAGCTAAAAGTTCTCTTTGACTTAAGCTTTGACATACCAATAATATGATACTTGGGTTGAGTTTGTGTTAGAAGATATTACATAGGTTTTCCCCAACAATCTCTTGGTTTCCATCACCATCTCTAGGGATATATGTTTGCTCAAAGTGTGGACATGAGCTCTTCAGTAGTGTAAAGTATTCACATTCCAGTCCGTGGCCATCATTTACGAGACCATCCATGAAGACAGTGTTGTCAAACGCAAAAGGCTTTAACACATATAAAGTGCGGTGTGGAAAATGCCGAAATGGGCTTGGACATGAGTTTGTAAAAGATGGCCCCTCTCGTGGCCAGTCTAGATTTTGAATATTTTCATCTTCTCTGTCCTTCAGGAAGCAGTCAGTTGCATTAACTAAGGACAAGGGGGCACAACAAAAGAAGTAAGACAATTCTGTAGAAGATACTTACAATGCATGTTAGGAAAAATTGAAATCATCCAGACAAAATCATTATTATTAATGCAAATATTTCTTCACAATCTTATATATCAGCAGTTTTCACAAGTTTGTCGTGAAGGATTGCAATGAAACTTGATAATCAAACATTGTAATGCTGAGGTATTTTGACCAACTTGTATTCTTGTTACTTATACCATACTTAATGCACATGGTAATATCTCCATATTTGGAAGTAAAGCAGTATGTTACATCACTGTCTATTAAACATAAATACACAATATTGCAATTAATTATAATTCAACAGCAACGACCTGTATATCAAGATGCTCATTGTGAAATAGTGCATATCTCACCAGTAGTGTGGTGTATTTTCCAATGTTGATAGTTCAGATATATGGAATGATTTATACTAACTTCACCCATAAGTTCACACAATGTACTTCAATGAAGTGAAACTAACTTCTTTAACAAAACAAAACAAGATGATGATGATGTATTGTTAAATTTATTTCTCATTTGTTCTGATGTTGGATTGAGCATCAACTTTCTGATCTTGCTCACTCCACAGCTGATAATTGGGCGTGCATTGAATCTTTTCAAGGTTCCACAGTCCAAACATTTCATCACAACATGCGTCTCCCTCTTGGCTTAAAGTAAAATCAACGAAAATTTATCTTGACTCTGTTAGCTTAGAAGTTTGTTGATGGCTTGTAGCATCGTGTCTGAGTTTTTTTGCAACTGAATATTACAAGCAACATTTTAAAATAATCTGCAGAGATTCAACGTAAACATTGGAATAGTAGTCTTAATTAGTCCTGCTGTGTAAATTTTTCTGTTCAGTCACTGTGACAACGTGATTTCTAAAGAAATTAATATCATAATAATGATATTTGATAATTTACATAACAGAACTAAAAATTGTGTGCTGGCTATGGCGCCTATATGAAACATGCTAAATTAACTTTTTTTCAAATGTATCTTATCTAACTTAAACTTAAAATTAACTTTTTTTGTCCTAAAGCTTTTCTTCATAATAACATCTCATGCATGAGTATGATCAGTTCAGTCTGAAAATTAGCTACACATGCAAGAAATTTACTTTAAGGGATGCGAGTAAGTGTTATAAATATCTGTATCAAGATTTTTAAGTTGCAAGTAAGGCCAGGTTGTATAAATGTATAATTTGACTTACGTACCTCTCACTCTGACCCTTGAGGTATAACCAGGTATAAGTAATGAATGGCAGTATTTGCAAATTGTTCTTTTATGGAAGGATCTCTATTGAATAGCAATCAAGTAAATTGAGGATGTTTGGGGTAATAATCATGATAATGGTCCAAAACATCAATAATTGGGAGGAGGAGTTATATTCACATATGCATGATATGCAGTGTTGAGTTCTTTAATTGACCATTGTTTTCAACTGATTGTAACAATATAAATGCCCCCATGGTCACAGTTACATAGAATATAAAAAAATTGTACCACATGGAAAGGAAAGAAGATTTTAGTAGACATTGTTGCTCCCCGGCCTGTGTTGCATTCGATAGAAAACACAAGTTACGTTGAGGCGTAAGTCAGTGACTTCTAAGAATATTTTTGCTAAGAACCTACAGCTTCGATAGAAGTTTGAGGCCAATGCCCTTCATTGTGAACGCATAAAATCGTGAAAGCTCTAAATTTTCTGGGTTCTCCAATAGCACTGTCTGAGAAGCCTTAAAAAGATAAATTACGCGTTAACGAGCGGGACTTCCTTGTAATGTGAATAATTTTAAACATTAAAGGACAAAATTATCTTTACAAAACACAGCACATAGCTAAACCTGATATAAAAAATTCATTCTTGAATAGGCTTCCCTATGCGCTAAATATTTTTCCACCTTCAAATCTTTTACTTTTCGTTTCTTACCCATCTCATCAATGTAAAGAAATCTGGCAATAACATTTGGTTACATAATGTAATGTATAACCTATAACCACTGATCTTTAATACAGAAGGCTCAGTATTATAGCAAAGTTTATCATCACCAGAAGAATTTGTCTCTACAAAACCTAATATTTTTTGTAATTTGTCTTGGTTAAGAGAATGGTAGTAAGGAGACCACGTTATGTTAAAGAACCAATGCCGCTTGGCATTTATTCGACGTTTTTTGTGCATCAGAGCGAAAGAAAAAAGGAGTTTGGGCGACATTAGACAGTTATGTACGAAGTCATTGAATAAATCTATTCTTTCTACCAATGCATTTGGAGTTCGTAACGTAAGTTTTATTGCTTTTTGGCTGAGTTTACTTACCATTTGCCTACCCACAACAGCTGGTCTTATCGTCATGTTTGTAGGGATAAATTAGTACAAATTTTAATTCACGTGTTTGTTGCAATCAACTTTATAAATAAAATTTTGTCGTAATTCTTATTTAAGCCGAAAAATAGTTATGCTAGAGTTTTATCCAAGTTGAATGTTTGCACATCAGGGGAATGTGCTTTGAATTTGTTCTACTTAATTTAAAAAGGATTTAAAACTTTTGCTTCCTATTAATATTAGTCCTATCCACCCCATTATAGTCTTAGTAGTTCAGGTTTTAAATTAACTTTTTTAGAAATGAGAAAAAATAGGGTTTTTTTCATAACATTATTTATTCAAATAAAAAGGAATTCAGCTCTACTTGAATATTGTTCCTTTCCTGTGCACAGCATCATAACGTAGATTTTTTTAAAACACTTTGATGGTTTTGTTGTATTTGTAGGCAGTTGAGGGGAGGTTATATGACTGAAACCCAAAACCTGCACTTCTCCCTTTTCTTCATGATGCTGTCTTACAGCAAACTTACAAAATTGTAAAATACAAAGTATAACAGATTCTGCACACAGACATCTTGTTTTCTTGATATTCAAATTTAAAGCAAGAGTTTAGACACAGTGTAATTTATATGTAGTCTTTATTCCATTCTTTATAAAAATGAAAATCACCTATGTTCTCTGTGTTTAAACTTTATCTTCAAGTGAATATCAAGGAAGTGAGTTGTCTGTGTTTGGAATTAAACTCAATTGGTAAGAAATATCTATGCAGAAAATATATCATAAAGTCATCTACCTATATCAACATATCTACATTTGTCTATCAATAAAATCAGTAAATGCCGAGTCATGTGGTGAGCATGCAACATACACACAGAGGTATATAAGGAAAGTTTCTAGTGCTTATGCCATCCACTATGTACAAAATGTGGGTACAAATTAATCAACCCTTTCCGGCATGATGTTGCTTCATAGTGACAATCATGAAACACAGTGAGACTCAGTTGATATCGTATCTTTTATGATACAAAATTTTGCTTGAAAAGATTGATGTGCCTCATTTTAGTATGTTTGGATATGTGTAAGTTAAATCATGATTAACTGTCACCTTTTTAGAGTGTGAAGGGATCATTTTGTAACTTTGTACAATACACAAAAGAAGTTAGATGTGCATCAGAAACATTAAATAAGAGCAGTTCTGGTATAGCACTTGGACTTGATCCTGGTGTTAAGACTGAGCATGTTCAAGAGGATACGTTGTCTGTTGATAGTTCATTGAAATTGTCATGGAAACAGAAATTTGGTTATTACCTTCGACTATCAAAGTATCGTCTTACAGGTATGTAGTTACAATATCAACAACATCTTTTTTATGTTTAAATAGGATTTGTTGTTGACGAAATTCTTGCATCAAACTCCATTATCTTGTTGTTCAAAGTTCAAGATAAGTTTTATACACATGATGTTATATAGAAGTACAATCCTAAAACATCAAGATATGCTTTATACATATGATGTTATATAGAAGTACAATCCTAAAACATCAAGATATGCTTTATACATATGATGTTATATAGCAGTACAATCCAAAACATCAAGATGTGCTTTATACGCATGATGTTATATAGAAGTACAATCCTAAAACATCAAGATATGCTTTATACACTTGATGCTATATAGAAGTACAATCCTAAAACATCAAGATATGCTTTATACGTATGATGTTATATAGTGGTACAATCCTAAAACATCAAGATATGCTTTATACACATGATGTTATATAGAAGTACAATCCTAAAACACCAAGATATGTTTTATACGCATGATGTTATATAGAAGTACAATCCTAAAACATCAAGATATGCTTTATACGTATGATGTTATATAGAAGTACAATCCTAAAACACCAAGATATGTTTTATACGCATGATGTTGTATAGAAGTACAATCCAAAAACATCAAGATATGCTTTATACGTATGATGTTATATAGAAGTACAATCCTAAAACATCAAGATATGCTTTATACGTATGATGTTATATTGAAATACAATCCTAAAACATCAAGATATGTTTTATACACATGATGTTACATAGAAGTACAATCCTAAAACATCAAGATATGCTTTATACATATGATGTTATATAGAAGTACTATCCTAAAACATCAAGATATGCTTTATACATATGATGTTATATAGAAGTACAATCCTAAAACATCAAGATATGCTTTATACATGATGTTATATAGAAGTACAATCCTAAAACATCAAGATATGCTTTATACGTATGATGTTATATAGAAGTACAATCCTAAAACACCAAGATATGCTTTATACGCATGATGTTATATAGAAGTACAATCCTAAAACATCAAGATATGCTTTATAATATGATGTTATATAGAAGTACAATCCTAAAACATAGTCTATAATCAGTTATAAACAATTCATCTTATTCAACATTTCCTTTTTCATATGTACATTAATTTTTTCGTGTGTAGTCATTGTCAATTTCATTCATGTGGTAGGATAATATTCAAGTTATAAAATGATTAGTGTGGGCTTGGTAGCTCAACAGGTAGAGCGGCAGATTGGTATCCCAAAAGTGCAACTTCAAATCTTGTCGAAGTCACACGTTTTTCATGTCCATACAAAAACCGTGTTAGGATTTATATTAAGTATATTCTGTGGTTAAAGATCGAGAGATTTCATCTAACAAGCAATAAAGTTTGCAATTTTTTTCAACAAGGGCATCATTTGATGTGCAAACATAAAGTAGGACATATATTTAGCTTTTCTTATCTATACTAAGGAATTTGCCAAGTCTCAAAAACGGTGTTTACAGTTTAATGTTTAAGGTGTTTACAAAATAGAGGGTTTCCAAAAAAAAGAAAAAAACCTACTAATACCTATTATATATTATTAATATGTGTGAGTTTGGGGTTTTGGGGACACCCCCCTGTACATGTATATATATTCAAACCATGAACAGTTTTGGTTGGCAAAGATATGTCCACTGCCATGTCTTCGGTACTTATTTTACAACAGCAATCCTAAACCATAACTAAAATGAATGCTTAAAAGAACAGACTCCATCCCAATCTTAGTTTTCATCATGGCTTCCTATCCTTTATTCTACAGGCTTAGTAGTAATTACCACAATGGCTGGATACAGTCTGGCACCGGGTGAATTTTCTCCATCAATCTTAGCCTTTGCATCTCTTGGTACTCTGCTGTGTTCATCATCGGCAAACACCATTAACCAGGTAAAGATATCATGATATGACAATTGTTGAGAAACTAGCCATTACTGCGGAAAGACAGTCTTTTGCCGATTTATTTTCACAACCAATATCCATTTGTTAGTTGTTTATATGTCGTGTAGGTACCATATGTCACCCTGACTCACCCACTGGTTTGGTTAGATGACGTGTAGGTACAGTACCGCTCGCGTATTTGTTAACATTCGGTACGCGTATGAAACGCGTATCATACGAAAAACATACGCGTATGATACGAGAACGATACGCGTATGATACGAGAACGATACGCGTATGATACGAGAACGATACGCGTATGATACGAGAACGATACGCGTATGACACGAGAACGATACGCGTACGATACGAGAACGGTACACGTACGATACGAGAACGATACGCGTATGATACGTGACAGTCTTTTGCCGATTTATTTTCACAACCAATATCCATTTGTTAGTTGTTTATATGTCGTGTAGGTACCGTATGTCACCCTGACTCACCCACTGGTTTGGTTAGATGACGTGTAGGTACAGTACCGCTCGCGTATTTGTTAACATACGGTACGCGTATGAAACGCGTATCATACGAAAAACATACGCGTATGATACGAGAACGATACGCGTATGATACGAGAACGATACGCGTATGATACGAGAACGATACGCGTACGATACGAGAACGGTACACGTACGATACGAGAACGATACGCGTATGATACGAGAACGATACGCGTATGATACGAGAACGATACGCGTATGATATGAGAACGATACGCGTATCATACGAGAACGATACGCGTATCATACGAGAACGATACGCGTATCATACGAGAACGATACGCGTATGATACGAGAACGATACGCGTATGATACGAGAACGATACGCGTACGATACGCGTACGATACGAGAACGGTACACGTACGATACGAGAACGATACGCGTATGATACGAGAACGATACGCGTATGATACGAGAGCGATACGCGTATAATACGAGAACGATACGCGTATCATACGAGAGCGATACGCAAAATTATGTTAACAAATACGCGAGCGGTACTGTACCATATGTCACCCTGACTCACCCATACATAGATGTTTGTTTGATTACCTGGTCAAAGCATCCATGAACATCTGTAGCAAAGTAAAGCAAAAAACAAAATCCGAAAAAAGAAATCATCTTGAGATTGCAAATTTTGTATCAACAAAAGATGCAAACAAGACTGTTGATTTTCAACTTTATTTCAAAGCCATCCTCAGACAGAATGATTTTACAACAGTATACACACACATATATATATACAAAGTGTATTACAATATATATATATATATATATAACGCGTGCGGATTAATAAGCGGAAGTACGGAAGCAAAGCAAACGAAATTAAAAAGTGTGATATTTACAAATAAGGAGTTGGAAGATTTGCGTTATTTAGAATAGAAAGCTAATTGTAAAACCAGAGAACCGACTGGTGGAGTGAGTGTGTGTTTATTATTAAGTGAAAAGTTGTAATTCTTTACTAGCTTTTAGTCCTGTCTTAAGAAAAGCTTAGTTATGTTTATTGAGAAGTGCCTCTAGAATGACAAGAATGTGGTAGTTGTTTGATTTAGTTGTGTGAAGTTTTTTATAGTTGTTGAGAATAAGATTTTCTAAAGGTGAAGGAGTTCTAGGAGGTGGAGGGACATCGTTGAGTTGTGGGAATTGGTTTTGTAGAGTGGCTAAGAATTGAGCGTTTTCACACTCAGAAAAATGTAGGTCTACTGTACTAGAATAGATCCTGGTTGCATGATCTTTCACTGTCGGCTGGAAATGTTTTTAGCTGTTGCAAAAATAGACTAGTCGAAATTGATTAAACAATGATTATTTTGTGTGTATTTTTAGTGTGGTTGATCATTATTTCATAGAGATTAGTCAAGGATTAGAAAGGTGACTTTGAAGGTCATTTGTTTAAACTAAACCATTTATTTTTCCACCTAGTGGCTAGAAGTTCCATTCGATTCACAAATGTCACGTACTAAAAATCGAGTTCTGGTCCGTGGACTCATGAGGTAATGGCAATATTTGTTTGTTTGATACTAAACCATGCTTTATATCATACATGTTCTCTTAGCAAAGCTGCAGTTTGTACGAAGATACCATTATTTATTTCAGTGTTACGCGGGCTCATCAAATATAAAATGGCGGTGTCACAGTGATATGAATATCCCCGTGTTTTGGGTATCCCCGTACTTAAATCACTAGGGTTTTGGGCACCCCCACCAAATATGACGGCCGTGTTTTAAGTATCCATACCGGACCACCTAACGTTCACAAATTACTAGTAACATAGGTTTCCCTATTTTTGTTCTATTACTACGCTGATTTCGGGGGTTTCCTTACAATGGATTTTCTCTGACTTAGCAGGAACAACAATAATGTTGTATTTTCAGAGGCGTAAAAAATTCTGAATAATACTGACTAAAATTATGAGTAAAATTAATTATAGATATCCTTCTATATGCTATTTTCAGTTAACCATTATAAATAATCAAGTTGTAATGTTTAATCCGTGGATCGGCTTCCAAATTTGTAATATAAGCTATGTTTGGATGAATTAACACAAGAAAGTTAAAACTTAACACAGTCAAATTACAATTCTATTGAATAATATACGCGTTGAAATTACTTCGCTATACTGCCCATACACGATCGAAATATGGAAATTGCATTAACAAAATCATTTCATTGAAAGTTTCTTTGAAGCAATTCAAAAGATCGCATACGAAATACTAGTTAAGCCAAAAATTCAGCAAGTAACAGTTGCTTGTTAAATTACATTTTGATAATTCTATCAGACTATCACCTTCATATATTTCCGCTTAAGGAATATCGATTTTCCGTTAAAGCTGCTGCAAGCTCAAATATTCTCGGCGTTTTAGGTATTCCCACTGGGAATACCTAAAACCAGTCATTAAGTGCGGGATACCCAAAACACGGGGGATACTCATATCACTGTGACAGCGGCAAATCCAACTCATCCAACTTCATTGAAATACAATTCTGGAGCAATGCTCCGCACTCTTGCATTTCTGCATGGTCTTTCATTTAAATAATCGTAGAGTTGATCGGAATCATGATTATTATTTAGCTCATTTTCTATGCGAGTCCCAAATACTGATTCATTCGAGTCATTTGTATTTGTACGTACAATATATATTTAATATTTTGTAGTTCAACCCATGCGTTGTCGTATGGTTTGGTCGCGGGAGTGGCGGGATTAACTATACTTTCAACGCAAGTCAATGGATTGACTGCTGCCTTAGGTTAGTGTTATTTTTGATTCAGCGGAGTTGTTCGGCTCCAGCGCTCACTTGTGGGCAAATATAGTTTGAAAAGTGGCTAAATTATTTTTTAAAAAAAGAGTTTGAACGTGTTTTTTGAGACTGTATTTTCTATGTGAGTACAAAGGAACAATAACATTTAACATGCACAGCACCCATATAACAATTCCCTAAAAGTACTCGCAACAAATGGCAATATAACACGCAGGGGCTTGAGAAGCCATGGCTGGCCTGTCTGGGTGTCTAGACACCTACAATTTTTAGAGTGTGGATGTAAAAGGACACCCACAAATTTAGCTTATTGCATTTAGGTGTATAGTATATTGAATGCCATGTTTTACTGATGGACCAAATTTTTCAAAGGAAAGATCTACAGAGTGTTTTAATCAGTCGCCATGTTGGGGGAAGATCGCATGCAGTGAAAAGACATTATGTTAATTTCATGCGCTGTTGAGCATCGGCACTTTGATGTACTCCCAAACATGGCCGCTTTGACGTCACATGCAAACACTTCAATACTCTGACATGATGGGGAAAAATCTCGAGTCAAACTTCTATCGTGCTGTTGCGTTACTACATAGACCAACTATTGTGTATGATCACATATTAAGTTTGGAACACCAACAACCGTATAAAACTAACTACTATCAAGGAGTTTCATCACTAGACCAACTATTGTGTATGATCACATATTGAGTTTGGAACACCAACAACTGTATGAAACTAACTACTATCAAGGAGTTTCATCACTAGACCAACTATTGTGTATGATCACATATTGAGTTTGGAACACCAACAACCGTATAAAACTAACTACTATCAAGGAGTTTCATCACTAGACCAACTATTGTGTATGATCACATATTAAGTTTGGAACACCAACAACCGTATAAAACTAACTACTATCAAGGAGTTTCATGACTAGACCAACTATTGTGTATGATAACATATTAAGTTTGGAACACCAACAACCGTATAAAACTAACTACTATCAAGGAGTTTCATCACTAGACCAACTATTGTGTATGATCACTTATTGAGTATGGAACACCCACAACTTTTAAAAGCTTGCAAAGCCACTGATAGCACCATCCCACCATTAAATACTAAATATCATTTAAAAAGTTATGCACTGTATATTATTTCATTTCAATCCATCTAAAGCTGTGTGCGATGTTTAGAAGGGACTGCCGTTTACTAATTTGTATTTCTTTTTCAAACCGAACTTAATTATGTTCGATGACTATGAATGCAAAATAATATGGTCAGCAGTCAGTCGCTGTATTTCATGTAAGAAGAATCAATGCAACGACGATATTGGCGAAAATTGCAATGATCGGAAATCTTAATATTCGATATTACTTTACCCAACACATTCCTTATTCGTGTATTTTTCATCTCCTTTCTTTCTTTCATTTCAGGAGCGTCCACACTTCTCCTTTATACCACAGTTTACACTCCGCTAAAGCGATTGAGTATCGCAAATACATGGGTTGGTTCCGTGGTTGGGGCCTTACCTCCGCTCATGGGATGGAGCGCTTGTACAGGAACGTTACACCCCGGAGCTTTTATCCTTGGCGGCGTTTTGTACTCGTGGCAATTTCCACATTTCAATGCCCTAAGCTGGAATCTTCGCGGCGATTACTCAAGAGGTATTTATAACAAAAGATATTAGTCCTTGCAAACTCATGTTTTTTAAACTTGGGTTTTAATGAATTCGGTTACGGTCAAATTAAGATTCAGCTCTAGCGTAAATTTTCAATCGCCGATAATTTATAAAAATCTGATGACTGTTGCAACAAATGACATCATAATGTAAGGAATGACATAAATACATCCATGTAGAGTGTATTCATCGGTTTCCAGTAGGTAAAAAATCCCATATAGTTAAAAGAATTTACGTTGATTTAATGTCCTATTAAGTATCGGCATTTTGATATAACCCACCGACATGCTCGCTTTGGTGTCAGATGAAATTACTTAAGGCTCTTTTCCATTCATCGCAAAATGCTCTTGCTGCGAGCTTGCGAGTCTGTTCGCGCGATCAAAAAATTTTGTTAAAATAATTTAACTATGCTTCAGATCATGGTGAGCTCGCTGCGAGTACGTTTTGCGATGAGTGGAAAAGAGCCTTTATACTGCCCAATTGAAAGACTTATCATGTTGAAAGGGTCGACGTGGCCATCTAAACTGGCAGACAACTAATCTCTTTTTGAACACCACGATTCTTGAAAGTTTAATTTCAGTAGAGTAAGTGTAAGAGGCGACAGCCGCTCGCTTTGTTATCTCAAAGTTAATAATCTTGACAGTACCTCTGCCATAAGCATGTTTGCTACGTACCTACGCTCTTTACCGATGCAGTCGGCTGAGCTTTGTTAATATCGTTATTCGTGAGATTGCAAAGAATAGAAACTATTAGAAAGACTTGCTTGGTATTATACACTCCAAGCGATCAATTGCAAATTAACGAACAGCATGAGCAACAATCACGTCCTGCCGACAATTTTAAAAAATATATTAAAAAAAGTAGATTCGGAAGAAAATAGTCATCTCAAAATTCAGTATTTGAATTAGAACAAAAGATGTAAAATTGAGTGTAAATCTTCAACTTTATTTCAAAGCCTTTATCACACTCAAAGTTTGTGTTTGATTGTCAATGAGCAACGTCGTGCACTCATGCTATTGAGCGGCAGCATGATATTGTCAGCTCATTTTAGCCAATAAGAAGCTCCAAATTATCCAAAGGGATACGCTGAAGCTCAGAGCATGACTCAGGCGAGGGGCTCCATAGTCCATGATCATAATCTTTATTCGTGTTAACTATACCACCAGGACAGTCCCTAGAACTCTAATTGGTGAGTAGGGGGGGTTATATCTCAATTCAGTTGTGCTTGACTTTTTTCTTTGGAAAGCAATTCACTTAAGGACTTGAACAAATTACTTTCAAAGGAAGTCAGTCGGACACAACTTAATATATGAATGACCACCCGTTCAGACTTAGAAATGTTTTGCATGATTTCTAACCCTCGTGCTATTGTAATTTGTTGATAAACTAATGACGAATACAGTGTATTTCATAAATAGTTTTATTTATTTAAGCTAACAACTATTTTTACAGCTTATTTATTTATTTTGTTCATATTAATAACCATCCATAAAAAATATTTCTTTGCACAGTTTTTGTACCATAAATCTTTGTTGATATCACACTTTTATCGTCATTGAAATCATATATGTACGTATGAATATAATTTATTTATGTATGTCTGAACCGGAATTATATATATTAATGTATAATTATAAACATACATATATATATATATATATATATATATATATATATATATATGAAAGTAAATTATTAATGTCTGAATGAATATAAGCTTATATCTATGTGTATATATGTACCATAGTGGACATGTCAACTATTTCGAAAATTTACCAACTATTAGTGAAGGCAAAATGATTGCTCCTGCAAAGATGGCAACTGACGATACATGATTCTTTACTCGCTGCTCCATCGTTCCTGGTTCAAATCTTTGATCGTTTATAAGTGGAAGTTCGGACGTTTGCAATTCAACATTTTCCATTTCTTCTACGTCATCAAAGTTTACATCCTCTTCGATCTCGTGATCTTGATTGTCCGTTAAATTTCTTTTGCAGTCTTGCGCGGAATCTTCCGCAATATGGGCATTATGGGAAAAAACTTGGTCTTCGCTGAAACCTGACAAAGTGATCAAACCTTGTTGAGGATGTCAAAAAATCATTGTCATCCTAAAAATAGTTTTATTGTGCTCACCTTCATTTTAAATAATAAATTCATCTCATCTTCCCAATGAGGAACTGGTCCTTCATCTTTTTAAGACAACAAAACCTTTTGTTCTGCTCTCCGTCATCAAAACTTTCATTATCAAAATATTCTAAATCGTTATCGAACTTATCCGACGACATCATCGCCGAAGAATGATCACTACTGCCTTCCATTTCTATATGTTGTGCGATGTTGTCGTTCAAAATGTCCATATCATCGTCGTGTACATCCTCTTTGATCACGTGATCTTGATTCTCCTTCAAATGTTCTTGTGCAGTTTCTTGTGCAATTTCTTCTGCAATACACACAATGCAATTAAAAAAGAAACTGAACAGGAAAACTTAAACAGAAAACTTAAACGTTGTTGAAGATTTCAAAAGAGATTGCCAATGTCTTAAAAAATTCTTTCATTGTGCTCACCTTCATTATGAAAAATAAATCCATCTCGTCTTTACAATCACGAACTGTGTCTTTGCCATTTTCACGACGACGACGACGACATTTTTTGTGGAGCTCTTCGTCATTAAGACTTTCATCGACAAAAGAATTATCACCGTTATGGAACTTATCACTCGACATCATTGCTAAAGGATGGTCACTATCGCCTTCCACTTTATGTTGTGTGATGTTGTTGTTGAAGATGAATGCGTCATCGACGTTTACATCTTCTTCCATCACGTGATCTTGGTGGTCCATGATATTTTTTTGGAAATCCTGTGCGGTTTCCTCTGCAATACAAGCATTGTATAAAAGGATTTGGTCTTCAATAAAGTAATCAAACGTTGAGGATGTCAAAAGAGATTGTCAATATCCTAAAAAAATGCTTTTATTGTGCTCACCTTCATTATGAAAAAATGAATCCAGCTCGTCTTTACAGTCAAGAAATGGGTCTTCACCATGTTCTAGAAGACTACATGTTTTGTTTAGCTTTTCGTCATCAAAACTTTCACCATCGTAATATTTATTAGTGTTATCGAACTCATAACTCGACATCATTGCTGAAGAATGGTCACTACTGCCTTCAACTTCTTTAATTTGAACAATGTTTTCGTTCAAGATGTTCTTGTCATCGACGTTTACATCCTCGTCGATCACGTGATCTTGATTGTCCAGCAATATTTTTAGGCAATCCTGTACGGCTTCCTCGGCAATACCAGCATTTTGTGCATGGTCTTCATTAATACCTGACAATAAAGTGATCAAATGTTGAGGATTTCAGAAGAGATTGCCAATATCTTGCATTGTGTTCACCTTCATTGTGAAAAATTAAATCCATCTTGTCTTTACAGTCAGCAACTGGGTCTTTGCCATGCTCATGACGACGACATTTGTTGTGGAGCTCTTCGTCCTCAAGACTTTCATCGAAAAAATAATTATAATGGTTATTAAAATTATCACTCAACATCATTGCTAAGGACTTCTCATTGCTTCCTGCAACATCTGTCTGTTGTACGCTGTTCACGTTCAACGGGTGCAAACTGAAGAAGTTACAGGCAGCAGTGCGAGCAAAGCGAAAATAAAAATTGCTGTAGCTTCTCTGCATCTACGTTTATGGAGCGATGGCAAAAAATCACTTGAAGAGCTAGCTGTAGCTATATGAAGTAGTAATCACATGTGATTAAAACTTCTTGCACGTGAAAAAAATGCTTTAAAATTCAGTCGTCTCTTTGAGAGATTGTTGATCACGTGCATTTTCATCCAGTCAGTGTTGGGCTCTATTTATTGATTTACCTCGGTCGATTGCTTTCCAATTTGTCGAAACAAATTTTCAAACTAGTTGAAATGTGGAGTGATTCCTTTTGTGAAGGCCTGGGACCAACAATAGGTTCTTCCTCTATATCACTGAGTTGTTCCATGCTTTTGGTGCTTTGTCTTTGATGGTTGATAACAAATGATTGATCATGGTCAATTTTTGTCCCCGATGTTTCAAAGTTGCTTGTGTTGGTGGTGGACTGATGTATGAAGAAACGAGGTTTTCTTTGGGATTCAGTAGATAAAAAGCATTCCAGATCTTGACACGATTCTTCGTCATCAGCATCGTTGCTGCTATCACTGAACGTTAAAAGGCTTATGTGAAAAAATTCGAACGATGAGTCGGAAACTCCCTCGTCACTGCTCCACCTTTGGCTGTCACTGCTTGCTGTATCGTCTAAGTCTCTGCTTGTTGTAGCATGCAGGTATCTCAACCTTCTGGCTGATCTGCTGGTTTTGAAGACCTTCGTGAGTAAAATCGTTCTTCTCTTTTGTTTGTGAATGAAGTTGTTGGCTACGATGAACAACCTGTGAAAACAGATTACAAATTCAATAACGTTGTGTTACTGGTGTGACGTACTTCTGTTTTCTCTTTTTTGTGAATTTTCCAGCGCGAAAAGGTCAAGTAAATCTTCCCTGCTTGTTCAATACTCAAGAAAGAAATGTCATCTTCTTTAATGCTGCTCAAATTTGCAAACGAGTTGTGGTTTATCTTACCAAACTTTAAGTCCATATCGTGTAGCCAGATAGAAAAAGTATAACAAGCCAGTGAAGAGTTTTTGATATGTTGTCAAGTACAGCATGCGGTTGATTGTATCTATAAATTAAGATATTTAGTAAATGATTTTACAACTAAAATTTGACAACTGTATATATCGCATTTACATAATTTTATTGGCTGCATATTTTATCGTTATGCAGTGTTATTTCTGTTAGAGAAGACTGTACTAGAAAAGAAAGCCGTCCAATGTTCAGCAACCGGACCAACTATCAAATTGTTATTTTCCCTGTACCTTGTTTTCCTATTGTACCTTACGTACTCTACTGGTACTTAACTGTGTCCCTGATAGTTGATCAAAGCCACGTAGTAGAAAATAAAGCTAACTTCGCTAGACTTGACTTAAAGCGCGTCATAGCAAAACTATGTCTTAAAAAATGAGCCTGGGTAAATAATTTGATTGGGCCGTGCGCAAAATTAAATTTGCGATATGATTGGATGTCAATTAATGACGACATTTTCAACCAACCAAGCGCTTTATCAGCTTTTCCGTGCACGTTCAGTAAAAACTAGCAATAGCCAAATGACTTGTTGTTGTGATAACAGTCACAACATTTATGGGTAAAATATCTTTGTAGGAAAACGCTTGCTTTTTTTGTGTGTTTTCCTCTTCCTCCGGACTAATCTTCCACGCCAATTCATCTAAAGTATTTTAAGAAAAATTTGCATCCGTCGTTTTGCTGTTTTTAGCTATTTGCTTTAATTTCTGACATTTTTACAAATTTTATAACAGTTGTAATTTCAACGGTTTTCAAATATCATTGAAGGAAAAGCGATAATTTTATAACCAGTTCAACTTATTTGCTGTAGCTACGAAGGATTATTATCTTAAGCACATACGCTTCCTACTTCCGAGCAAAGTAGCGCGTAAAAGTTTCACACGCAAGTTGACTAAGTCTGAGAGAAAAAAATCTATACAACTCGGGTTAGCAAGATAATTATTGATAAAGCACTCACCAAGAAGAATACATTTTTCTTGACTTGCAGTTAATGTATCATTGGTTTTCTTCTTGTCATCGAAAAAACCGTAAGAATCTTGATTACTTGTTGTTGAAAAACACTTTATGTAAAAAGCGTTTTTGTTTAAAGGACATTTAGCGTATCGATCAATTTGATCTTTTCGTTTGCAGACTTCCTCAAAGTCATCCACGACAATGTTGCTACTTGTCATGGCAGAATTCTCGAACCCATGTTCGGAGTTTGTCGAGTTGATAACGTTGCCCATTGAATGTATGTAAAAAATGAAAAATAGCAGTTGAACGAAAATATTAACAAAAAACATTTTTCAAAAGCGTCAAAATGTAAAACCTTGCATCGATTATACCGCTTGCGAAATGATTAATCTACAATGATTAATCTAATCTAATTGCAATCATGACGTCACGTAATCGCCTTCTTCGTGATTACGTCACATATCTACGTTCATGTTTAACCGTTGCTCATGTTTGTTCTTCTCAGAGATTCGATTGCTCAATGAAAAGTTTCAGCGCGTTTTTATCACCAATTTTTTTACAAACAGTGGTTATTGTGAAATATTTGTTCGAATCCGTTTTCCTTCTTACGACGCTTTACTTTTTTGGTATTCTCTTCCAAGTTTATTTTCACAAAATTAATGAGATGATATATCTTTTATGATTTGTAGCATAAATTTTCTTTATAGCAAAGCATCAAATTTCACAGTATTTAATATAAAACAACTGGGTCGAAGCTAGCAAAATGAAAATAATCGAAATTCGACCTACGTTTTCATTGATAAATTAAACTGTTGTGTTGTTTTCGGTAATTGAAAACTACAAATTATGTTGTTTTTTTTGTAGCTGGCTATCGAATGATGTCAGTTCTTAATCCTGAACTTTGTCGTAAGGTAACATTACGTCATTGTATTTCGCTCATAGCTTTGTCAACGTTACTTCCGATGAGTGATGTCACAACATGGTGGCTTGCAGTGGATTCGCTTCCGTTAAATGCATGGTTTACCTTGTTAGCTTGGAGATTTTATAAGCGCTCGGACAATAAGTCGGCGCGCAAATTATTTCGTTTCAGTCTCATTCATTTACCTTTGTTGATGGGTCTGATACTTTTTCACAAGAAATGTAGCAATGAAAGAGGTAATGACTTCGAGGACATTGCAGAAGAAAAGAATATTTTAAGTGCATTTTAATAAAACAATGTGTCGCAATATGTCTCTCGGAAGTGAACAACATTTAACTTGGTTTTGATATCGTTACCAGTTAGGGAGTGGTCATGATTAAAACTAGGGGTTGGACTAAAGAGAAAGGAGTTACAAAAAAATCGGTTTAGGATGTGGTTGAAGAAAATGAAATACCACTACATGACTGATGAAACTAACGTCTAATATAAAATAGCATTTTCCCCACGCGGGCGCTCATTGGTTAAATGCTCGAAAAACTCGTATTCCTACTCTATAGAAACACGGGAATCTCAGTCTCGCAAAAGTCTCGCAGGTTGCCTGGTTTGCGCGAAAAAGGCTAAATATGAGCAAGATGTCATTAAAGAATGTGTGTCAACCAAGATGCATTGCGCGTTAATCACGGCGTGGCGGCCTTTTTCTGAGACGCGAAAATGGCGGCTTGCGTTATTATTTGTTGTCCATGGAACTTAGACCAACCGACAACTTTAAAATAGAATTTTTAAGTAATTTAAAAGTTTTTATTTGAAATGGCTTCGTTTCCTAATCGTGGAAGGCCAAAACGGAAAGTTGAACAACACCACGAGTGGATAAGACAAAACGAGTTAAATAGAATGGCACAACAGGCAATAGTGAATTTGCTGCTTATTTTCTTCAAATTTTGAATAAAAAGAAAAACGTAGCTATAGTCCTACATCTATAATTTACCACTACAAAACGAATAAATCGCTATTAAAAAATAACAACGTGGAATTTTAAATACAATAACTGTATTTTTTAAGTATTTTAACAAAAATATGTTCTAATAAAAAAGTGAAATTTACTTGTACCTGTGTCCGTTTCGAAGTTTGTACTAACTCAGTAATTACAGTCAAAATTTTTAAATAATGTTTTTTTGCTGAATTTTTCAGCTAAATTAGATGACGTATATTCGAGGAACTAGGATTCAGTGTACCGATGGCTCAAAAATTAACGATGTAAACAAAAGCAAAAGCGCGCAATGCATCGTGGTTGACACACATTCTTTAAAATCGATAATGTCTTTTGACTCTTTTCAATATTGTTTTTAAAAGTCTATTTTACAATGGAAATAGAAAACATATTTACCTGTTCCTATTAAGTTATAGAAACATTTGCGAAAGTTTAAGAGAAACCAGAAATTGCTGAATACACTTGTGCTTGTGCTTGCCACGCAATTTCTCCTTTGTCTCAAATCTTCTTGCGTGTTTCTATAACTCTTTAGAAACTCGGAAAATGCTTTATATTTCTTAAATTATGTAGCGTACAAGAAACTAATACCTCTTTTATCGATACCAATTCACTAGTGATTATATCTCTCGTGTATTTTATACCACCGAAGAAAAACAAGTATTTTAAGTGGTTTGTTGGTAAGGTGTTAATTTTTAAGATGATTAAATGCTAAGAATTTCTCTTAAGTCTCACCCCTTACGTTAATTGACCGATCTTCTATTGCGTCCAAACCTTGCATACAAGTATCGTTTAAAAAACTACTTTTTAAATATGTAATGGAAGAAACCAAGCATTTGGCGAAGCCAGCCAAAAATGTTTTCTAACGATGCAAATTTTTCTACAAAATGATTTTTAACTTTCGAAAGTCAATTCTATTCATTGTTTTTTCATTGGATGTACACGAATTTATTTGCATCGTAGAAATATAAACGGGCTTGGCTTTGCTGCTACATCTGAGTAGTTTTTAATCTGTGCTTATTCATTTGATTAATCAAACAGTTATTTATTAAATGACATCTATTTACTGTGATAAAGAATTATATGAATTTTACACCGGTTTTATTGAAGTATTCATGTGCACTTTCTCAATTCTTACTTTATGAGCGTAATAACTCATGGTTTGGTTTAACTGGAAGTCAGGCTTTGATAGGTGCTTCAGCATATTGGTGCGAGTAATTGTTACTTTTAGCTTTGAAGCTTTATTGCTGGTATTTCACAAAGAAATAAAAGCTAGGCTTATAGTGACTTTTACGGTTAAGGGTCGAGGTGTATTGGAGAGTACAACGTTAGGGAAAATATATTAAAATTATAAGTAAGATTATAATTATACTGGGGCCGGGGTCACGAAGCCTGGATAGGGTTATCCATCGCATTGCAAGTTTTTTTAAACTTTTAAAAAACCTTATATAAAAAGCTAAAAGTATAAGATTCGAACTGAACAATCACTGGAATAAAACATTGTTTCGAAGATACGAAATTTCTTTGTCGCAAGAATAGTATAAACACCTTTTTTACAAATTTGAAAATTTTTGCTTTCCAATGAATAAAGTTATCCAGACTTCATGCATGCAACCGGCCCCTGCTTGGTAAGATCATATTGCTTGGAGATTTATAACAATGGCATTATCGCGGGTAAAAAGTTATTTTGAATTTCAAATTAGCGGCTCTAAATCGTCTCTCTCACAACATTTCTTGTTTCTTTTATGACTGGACTTCCTTTGTATAGTAGCGATGGTGCTTGAATTACACCTATAAAAACAAGGCGACAAGCTAAGATTAGCATTAGGATATTGTTAAAGGAAATGTTAAGCAATCCAATTATCAAGTAGCTATCTACATCAAACTGTAACTGCCAGAATCTCATCTCCTTCGTCATTTCTTTTCTACATCAAACTGTAACTGCCAGAATCTCATCTCCTTCTTCATTTCTTTTCTACATCAAACTGTAACTGCCCGAATCTCATCTCCTTCGTCATTTCTTTTCTGCATCAAACTGTAACTGGCCGAATCTCGTCTCCTTCGTCATTTCTTTTCTACATCAAACTGTAACTGCCCGAATCTCATCTCCTTCTTCATTTTTTCTACATCAAACTGTAACTGCCCGAATCTCCTCTCCTTCGTCATTTCTTTTCTACATCAAACTGTAACTGGCCGAATCTCGTCTCCTTCGTCATTTCTTTCTACATCAAACTGTAACTGGCCGATCTCCTCTCCTTCGTCATTTCTTTTCTACATCAAACTGTAACTGCCCGAATCTCCTCTCCTTCGTCATTTCTTTTCTACATCAAACTGTAAGTGGCCGAATCTCGTCTCCTTCGTCATTTCTTTTCTACATCAAACTGTAACTGGCCGAATCTCATCTCCTTCGTCATTTCTTTTCTACATCAAACTGTAACTGGCCAAATCTCCTCTCCTTCGTCATTTCTTTTCTACATCAAACTGTAACTACCCGAGTCTCATCTCCGTCTTCATTTCTTTTCTACATCAAACTGTAACTGCCCGAATCTCATCTCCTTCGTCATTTCTTTTCTACATCAAACTGTAACTGGCCGAATCTCATCTCCTTCGTCATTTCTTTTCTACATCAAACTGTAACTACCCGAGTCTCATCTCCGTCTTCATTTCTTTTCTATATCAAACTGTAACTGCCCGAATCACCTCTCTCTCTTCATTTCTTTTCTACATCACAACGCTAGACTTTGGTGGTAACCTCTTTTCATTCCATCATGACAAAAATGGCGATATTGTAAATTTGTAATGTCTTCGACCAAAATTACAGTAATATGTGTGCAAGAAAAGTGTAAAATCATGATGATTTAACTGTATTTAAAATCTTTGTGACAAATGCATCCTCTAGAGTATCGCCTTTGCGCCAATCCCGTAAAAATGCTGAGGAGTGCACGAAACCGTAAGTAGAACGTTAATTGGGCGGGGGGGGGGTTGACTATTCATACGTTCACTTTTGAATATTCATGTCTTCACTTGTGCTTGACTGACATCTTTCAAATCTTTAGGTGGCGAAGATTTTCAAAACTTTGTTTTCCACTTCGTTTGGTGATCGTTGCTGATCTGCTACACTGCCACAGAATGGGTTGGTTGTACAAACTTGGCCACAAAAATGTACAGTGTTTTGCAGACATGTCAGCACAATACATTATTTATGAGCTTTCCTAATTGAGGTTTATCATAACCAATTACAAACTAAAACAAGGTTATTACAATATTAGTTGACTGATATAGTTGCAGTTTCATTGTTTCTAGAAAATTGATTTGTATGAAATACTTTGCATTGTCTTTTCACCATCGTTTTGTCGGTGTTTTAAAAAATCGTTGTTCAGCTGCACTTCTGAAAATGGAAATTTTCATGACGCGTGACTATATAGACAGGAAACGAGTAAAATATCGTACCTAAGACATGAAAGAAACGAAATTGCCGTTAAGAATTCTTCCGCAAGGCCACTTTCAATTGTCGAACTTTACATTCACCAATTGCATTTCAATCAAAGGATAAGGAAGTTAATTTCTTTGTGTTTTATCTTCGATACATTAAGTGCATGTAAAGTGCGACGTCTTAAACATTATATTATCGAAATAAATAATATAGTATGATATGTTTGTTTCTTCTTTATGGCACTCTCAAAAAACGTTTGCTTTCGCAACTTTTCCGTTAGTGACCTGTAATGTCTGACGTCATTATGTGTGTTTAGATTTTTTAAAAACAGTGTATTGGTCATTCTTATTTTCATTGGGGAATCATTTATGCATATATGGCCTAGTCAAGAATAGGGAAGTTAAATTAGGGACTTATTGACATTTATATTTACAATCATTGAATCACATGGCAGAGTCAGGGATGTGTAGGTAGACTTAGGGTTTTTTGCTCGTGCTTGAGAACACGGAATTATTAAGACTTGTGATATTTTAGTCCGGCAGTTCGCGTGTCTTACGTCACTAATATAGCACTTTGAATAAATTAGATAGCACTTTTTATGTAAATCTGCAGTCGTATGATATTATCATTATATGAATTGACACGATAAAAAATTATTGTATATGTACGACTTTCGCATGATAAGAACAATTCAGACTTCGTTCAACGTTAACCGCCTCAGCTTCGCTTCGGCAGATGACATTGAACGCGGTCTGAATCATTTGTGATATCATGCTATTGTGAAATATTTGCTTGTTTTGCATCAGAAGATGAGACGGAAATATCTTTGTTTATTATTTTACCTTTGATATTCTTCAAATGTGTGAATGAAATGATATTGCACCGACATGCAATCTACTTCAAACCAGTCGGGGTTTTATATTTAATGGAGACAAAACGGAATTAAATTTTGCGCTATTCTAGAATTGCGTTAAACCTTTTGGCCTTGTCGATCAAAGTGAGAAAATAAAAGAAAATAGCCCAAACAGAAAAAAAACTGTATCGAAATCATAACCGAATTTAATCGCCAATGACTTCAAATACTTGATCTTGTAACGTGCTGTCTAACTTTATGTTCACCTCGCAAATTACATGCGAATCAAAAATAAATGGTTTCATCTCTTTAAGCAAAAATTATTTATCCGTATTTTCTTTGGTGTTGTAATGCAGTAACTTACTAAAATCAGATACATCTTCATAATCTTTTGAATTTGAATTAAGTCAAAAGTGTTTTCAACCAATTGGTAAACTGACTTTAGAATGCAAACTAGACAGCCGTGTTTTTTTATTATCACAAGCTCCGACCCACTAATATTTGATAATGGGATGTGACGTTTTTGATTCATCCAATCAAAAGTATTTGCAAATTTATTAACGGTATTTTACAAAGTGACAAATAACATGTATAATATTACATATATTGTATTTGGCCCACAGTGTAATTATGGAAACGACAGACTTACAGGACCATAAATTTTCTAAAACTTCAGGCTAGCTTTGTATCATAACAGTTATTCGTTGGGGGTACTGCCGGGAGTCATTTGAGAGTTTGGGATCATAAAAATTTCCCTAATCATTGGGAAGCAAACCCCATCTGTCTGGATTTTATCGCTCTGAGTTTTAATTTAGTGAGAGAGCAGTGCATAGCAGTCATTAGGTAGCGTGAGCAATTATGAAGTATTTTCACTTCTGACAGGTAGTCGTAATTGCTCTGTTTCAGACGGCGAACTTTTCAAGCACCATACTTAATTGTATTCACTGCTACACAGGCGTGAGACAAAGACATCAGTCGTCAAACACTAAACTTATTAAAATATTAGTTATTCACGACGAACGATCGAGTGCCTGCACGTGTAGGAAGGCAAAACAGCAAATATTTCAGGATGGTAATCGACCTATTCACAAGCAATGTGCACTGTGAATCAACGTCACTCCAAAACGTAAGATAACTGAGTGCAACGGTATTTTTATGCATATTCTGCAATCAGCGGCAAAAGGTTTGTACGGTCACGTGGATTTCCCTAAAAATAGCTGGGACACATTCTGATTGGTCGTTTATAATCATGCCGAACTTTTCTTTAAGTGAATACAACTCGGACATGGCCGACAAATTTGCCTTGAAACAATTTGAACGATAAATTTAAAATCTTTTATTTCAGCCGATGGCACACTTCCCTTCGACAAGATTTACGTTACGTTTGCTTTCGAGAAAGAGAGAAACAGTCACGCATATCAACGACGCCACGTTTTTCGCATTATTGTTATTTCATAAAAGAAACAAAAGATGTTTTTCGTGTTTTCACTGGCTTATGCAAACCTGGGAGACGTTTGTGAGAACTCTCGAGCATGTGCAGCCCTCGACCGTCGGTCTCAGCGATGATCTTGTGAAAACCTCTCAAATACGTCGTGTAAAAATCTTCAAGGAGATATGCTATAAGCCCTATGGCCCTGGATGTTTTCTATTTATAATCGATATATGAACATCATTTTTAGTGTTATAAGTTGGTTTCAAACGGAGAATTTCTTTATGTTTGAAGTTTCATTCAAAAAATCTTTCTTGTTTAATATTGGTTTTTCTAAATGTCCTCGGGAGATATTTGAACGCCGTCACATATATATATATGTGAAACAGTGATTAATAAAATATATCAATCTTGTGAGTGTGTTGGCCATCAACTGAGCTTCTTTAGGGTTCCCAACAGCGAACTAGGGATTCATTTAATATTGGTGATTGGACATGAATACGATGTCATGACAGAATAAAGACTCTTACCCTCTTCTGTCATTGCATGCAATTTTTTCCTTTTCGTCCGTCTTATAAATACGTTAAGAAAAACTTAAAAGTGTATGTGGAAAAGTTTTCATCGCATCATATATCATGTTAAATGTTTTGCGTTAAACTTAGAAGATAAAATCGGTAAATTATTATTCTTTACTTTAGTAATCAAACTGATAGACACGCCTCTTATTCGAGCTCTTTCACTGTAGTATATTGCAACTGTACTTCACTCATTTTTTCCTCGTAACGCATGCTGCCATATACATTGATGTGTTTCTCTGACAACTTTTATGTTCGACTCAATGTAATCAATGTTTTGCTGCAGCATGGTGTCCAACATTGAATTAACTTATGCTGATTTGTTTGAAGGTTAGTGAAAACTTTTTTCTCCGCATTCATTATTATTAATCATTATTATTAATCATTATTATTCTTTATTATAAAATACTGAGAGTTTAATGCCCCGTTTACACTATACCGGATTGCTATCGTAGCAGGTTGAATATTCTTTGTACTAAAAAGCAGTGCAATTGTTCAACGTCAGAAACACGATCAAATAGACTAAATCTATCAGCTTAATATGCTTTTACTCCGAACATTTAACCCTTTTAAAGCGAATCCACCTTGTCGAGAATAGCCGTCTCGTGTTGTTCATGCAAATCCTGGCCAATTTTTTTTCAGGAAAAAATTTCTGTACATTTACATTATTTCCAGCGACACTTTCGGCAAAATCTCTTTGAAATGGTGAATACCATTTGCAAGCGACACTTTCGGCAAAATCTCTTTGAAATGGTGAATACCATTTGCAAGTGCCTCGTCTATATCATTTTAACTTCAGCACACCTCGCACATTTCTACTTTTTAGGAAACGTATTTTGAAATTTTGAACTGAGATTAGCATAACAATGCATCATCGTTTAAATATGAAAGCACGTATTACATACCATAACATGCTACATTAGCCAACCTCGCGGAACGTTTAACTCGCACTATTCAAATCTTTTTGTGATGAGTTAAATAACTGATTTTGCTTAGAAACGCCTGCATATTCTAGAATTTAATATGTTGTTTCATACCAGTAATCTTCAGTTTTTAGTAAGTTTGTCATCTTAATTACTTTCATGTCGAGGCGTGCTTTAGTGTTAGCATTTTCATGGGGCAAATTACAGCATTTTATTTAATGAGGATGTTATAGGAAGTCGATTTTCTTATGCTATATATCCAGTATCTTAGCTTACATTTTACTCGTGAAATAACTCTTGTCGAAATTCGTACACTCGCTCGGTTCATACTGTTCTACTTGATTGGAAATTTTTCAATTTTGCTTGACTCAGTTGACTGAACATTAACAGCTAATAACATTGAATCAAAGAAAGCAACAAAACCCTTCGGTTTATAAATTTATTTTAGATGTCTTAATTGTTCGGTCGTTCTGTTGTGAAGTCATGATTAAGATCAAGTATTATTTCAATCGTTACACAACTATAAAGTAGTGAATCATTTTATATACTATAAACAAAGTTTGACTATATAATACAAACTTCAACATATTAATTTTTAGCATGTTAAATACAACGTTGCAAAGTTCGGTCGCGAAATACAATGAAATGTACGACCGTTTATCATATTTTATGTAAGGTCAGGTTGATTTCTTTTGAAAACAAAACTATTTTGAAAAGAAATTAGCAAGGCATAGCAGAATATATGTAGTGATATTTCCCCCCAGTTAACATAGGATTGATGCCAATGTAACATATATTGGCTTGAAAATATCAACCAAGACAGAGTAACGCAAAGATAGAACTTTCGTATGAGTCTCTGGTCGCCGAGTGTAAAACGTTGTTGGTACAAGATACAATTCCTTTATGATAAATCCATATTTTAAAGAGAATTAATTGTTATTGTAATCAAAATGGAATTTACGCACTTGTCAAAGAACGATAAATCCGAGTATGTCTTTATCATCGCCATTATCTCTAACAGTATTATCAACCAATTCGTATGGAACGGGCCTATCTGGCGCACCGGTTCCTTCAAATGGAATCTTGTATAAACGCACTTTCAAAAACATTTTTAAATGATATGTGGTGATATCCTCACCAAGCTAACTAAACCATTGTACTAAAATACAAGGAAGCAAATAATTGAGCCAAATCTTACATCCAGACACTCGAGATTTTACCCAGACACGTGTGTATGTAGTGTTTCGAGATTCTCTCGCGGAGCATGAAAACTGATTGACTACACGCACGTGTCTGGGGTAAAATCACGGCTTCAAAAAATTATTAGGGTTTTGTATTACAGGTAATGTTCCATGTATTTTAGTTCAATCAGCTAAACAGGCGTTTCATATGAACAAACTAAAGACCTTTTCATATTTTTCACATCAAAGTTTGCAGACAAGGAAACCAATAGATTAGCCTACATCAAAGACGCATTAATCATCAAACACTATCCAATCACCATCGTTTTCATTAATGGAAAATCGCGTTCCAGAATAAGAATTCTGCTTCTAATTAGCAAAGGTTTTTCTTACCATATCATAAATTTGTGGCACATGTCTGCCATGCATGCTAACTACCGACTGGCTAATTGAATACCTTTATCTACCATGTTTCACTTATATACCTGCTCTGGACCCAGTTCCCCGGTTACAATGTTGCGATAATCATCTTATGCCTGGACTTTCTTAGCTATAAATTTCTAAAGATTTTTTTGACCAATCACGTTTTATTGGCAACTAAGATATTTCGAAAAGTAAATACATTAAAAAGTAAATACAGAAAAAATAGCAGTCGTAAATTTTAACTATCCACAAATCGGTCTAGCATCAATGTAATTTTGAGGAAAGGACAGAATGAATATGTACAGATTTTGTTGTCAAGCTCAACGAGAAAAGACAAGCCTTGCAGTTTAGATTGCTACATTTCATCCAATGTACGTTGTTGATGGGGCCTAAAGCAATCGAGGCATCGCAAGTTAGCAATGTCCGTCCAGCAAATAACAGAAAATAAGAATTCTGAAAACAAAATTTATTGCTTACATTTGTGATAGTCCTGTTTATTAAACTTCGTTAATTGTTTTAACATTGTTCATTTTTTGTTGTAGTAATTTTGAGCTGCTGTAAAATGTCATTAAATGCACGCTTGAATTTTCACTTTGAAAATGGCGACATAGTTATCGTTTGCCCGTTTGATTCGTTTTCCATGGCATTAACATGATTATTATTAATTTAGTCAACATAGCTACAGACAAAAGCGCTAATATGTCAACAATTATTTGAAAACTTAACATAAGATCTTTAAGAAATCGATACTAACTTTAACTAACTAACACCTGTTTTTTTATTGTTGGCAATGAAGTGCCAGGCGAGAAAACGGATTCTCAAGATAAATATTAGAGCCCAACAAATAATTTTGAACATAATCATGTACAATTTGGTTTTGTGAAAGTTATTAAAATAGTGACGTTTCGTCTTGACACAAGACATCTTCAGACTAATAAGGAAGTTAACAAGAATTATAGATATATATATATGGAGTTATTTACATAGTTTGAGGTATTAGATTACTGTGGCTGTGTAAGTGTGATGTTTATGGGTAAATTTTTCATGACAATGTTCAAAATTATTTGTTGGGCTCTAATATTTATTTTGAGAACCTGTTTCTTTTTCGGACAGTCGAAAAGCAGTTTTAGCGTATGTAATCCTCGAAAATCTTTCCTTCTTAGAACGTACGATTACAAGAACCCTTAAAAATAAGGGAAAAAAAGGGTGTTTTACCGAGTTCCGATAGTTTCAACTTCCCGCTTGTAGTATTTACAATAGATTGCCGCGTGAGCAAAACATGTAATCGGAGAACATAATATTACATTTATACTTCACTTGTGGTCATGTGACGGGAATCTGCTGCCAATCAACTTTAACTTCCCGCCTGTAGCTTTTATGGCAGTTACTTCCTCACTTCACCTGCAGCGAATGCGAATCAGAAAAATTTAACTTTATTTTGTCAACAATTATAGTACGGATTGATACAATAAAAGATATGGCGTACAATTTTTAAATCACGGTAATGCTTTGGTTGTGTCTTTGAAGATTAGTGCTTCTAAGGTATTCAAAATCGTTTGCTATAATTCATGGCTTTTAGAGAGATTTGGTCAGTACATCCGACAGATAAGTTTTATATAAAGCCAATATATTTAAGATCGTGTCTTGTGATAGTTGGTTCGATGCTTTAGTTGAGTCCCATTAACTTGATCATTTTTATTTATTCTTATATTTCACATAAGTGGCAAGTGTTCATTTCTTTAGCAATCAGTAATATACACAAAGCTATAAAACTGCAATCCAAATTCGTGATCTTGCAAGTTTTTAGGAGTACTTCATTTCTTACAAACGCCGTTATTTTCACAAACTGTTCGAATTGAAAAAAGACGCTATATAGCCATATAACTACAAGACTTTTGACCAACATGGCGTCGAATTTAATCACATTGACGAACCAGTGTTTACCAAAGAAACAGTATTTGTACAAATTTTTTATTTCTTAAACATGGACTGAAACGAAATGCCAGTAAGCTGTAATGTGGTAAACGTTTTGAATTTTAACTACAGTCTAATAGCTAATGCTTTGAGTTAGTGTACCCTGTTTTAACAAACAAATCTCCAGTAAACGGTATTTTCTTGTATACTATTATTTTATGTGGGTTTATCCTATCCGTAATTCGTCCTAATCTTTTGGAAAGTGTTTTTTTTTTGTAAAATTCCGGGCTTAGTTCGTCAGTACAACGTTTTCCATATCACAAGAGGGGTTCGTTAAAAGATTGTCGTACATTCAAACTCAAAATTGTTCATCAATTTGAAATTCAATTTTCGGCTTGTAAACAGATAAAAGCTAAGACACTATATAACTTCCCTCCCATAAGTCATGAGCGTGCGTTTGAAACATAAATTTGAACGTAATACATCTGAGTGCTCTACATGTTCAGTTCTTAAAAATGCATATCGTGGCTACAATACGGCGTTTTTTTATAACTGTCTCATCAGTAGCGAAGAGAAATTGAGCCTCTCAGAAGTTCGATATCATACTTCTATTTGCATTTCGATAAACACTTACAACAAAATCTCAGCATGTAATGTAAAAGTGACAATCATGTAACTCATCAAAATTACAACTGAGCGATAAATTTGGAAAAATATTGGAGTTGTTGCTACTTGTTTAGGAATAATTGTATGTTATAGTGTAGCAAGCGCCTTGTAGACTTTGTTACTCGAAATTTCTTTTATTATCTAATCGAGCATGTAGAATTTAATTGTAAAGCTTGTTGTATTTTTAATATATATTGTTTTATTGTCTAGAAACAAACAAAACGCTTTGTCTTTATCAACGTATTTTATCATAGCTTGCTGAGTGTGAGCCAATATATATCTATAATATCATCTTATCTGTGATAACTAACATCGACTAAACGTTCGAGTGTCTGGATATCTTTTCAAAAAGCTTTTTTCATTCTCAGATTTATGAGATATCAAACTGTAGAAGTCTGTGTCAAATTTAGCCACTGTTTGTTTAGTTACAAAGTGTATAACAATGTGCCCTCCCGGTTATCACCATTGTGCAGTGGTGACTCCTGCACTTGTGACACAGGATGTACGGTTACATATTGTATGGATTGTTTTGTAGAGTCATTTGGCATTTGAAACATTCAACACCAAATCATTTACTTAAAAAATCATACATTACATAAAGTATCAAACAGTAGAAGTCTGTGTCAAATGTACGGTTTGCTTAGTTATGTGGATTTGGCATTTGACAAATTTAACACCAAATAATTTTACCTTAAAGGCACACATTACATAAGTGTGGAACATTTACATCGAATTTTTTGAGAAACTGTACTGAAACTTAGTGTAACTAACTAAAAATAAAAATCAAGCTAAAGAATTGTCACTATTGTCTTGTTATAATTTCATAATTTTCCCACGATTTTTCCGTATAATCTCAGTTGACATTTTTACATGATGGTGATAGCACTTAGCTTGTCGGCAAATTCCGCAGTAGTTCTTATTGCGTGCAGGATATGTCATCTTCAATTAAGTAAAACATTATTAAAACACATTGTTGTAGAATATATTTTCTTTCTTATGATCTTGTGACATAGTATTGGTCTTTTATCAAATTCAAACTGTAAAGAAAACCGCTATAAATGTATATTGAAAGAGTCGTGTTTCAAGTCCGTGCACTTAGAAAGTCGAATTTAAGCTCTTGGGGATTTTTTAACAGATATATATTGTGTTTAATCCGTGTAATTAGCTAATATTGATTTTGTTTTGTTAATAACGACAGTTTTGAACGAGGATTTTTGTCACAAAAAGTGATTGTCTCGAATGTCGTACTTACCCCGAATTGTAAAACTTTAATTCCAACAATATACCGGTGAAATACTAAAGGTGTATTCAAAACAACATAAAAGTCAAGGGAATTAGAAATTAATATTGTAGATACTTTGTGTGTTTCGCTTTCAAATTATTCCAATCTTTGACACGTTATTATAATCTACCGCATTCATATGATTTATATATGTCACAGGTCATGCATATGAACAATATTCGAAATTTCATAAACGTCACAACATGGAGTTCAAACAAAAAGTGAAGAGGAATCAGATGAAATGATTTCTTTGATTTTTCGCCCTAGGAAAAGAACGCCTAGCTTTTTAACTTTTCGACATTTTTTGTGTACATTCATATGTGTTTTCATGTTTAGTTATTCCAGAACTTTACAGCGAGATGCACCAATCGGTGGCAGAGAAGGGCTCTCTTTCTGAAGGTGATTTGATCATGTGACATAGTAAAACACTATTCTTATCAGCAGATAACATTTTCGGAATTTTTTTAATATCTCTGGTTATCGAGAAATTTTTTACATTCGCACATGAAGATTGTTGGACGTCTCAGGAAAAGAGGGAGTAGCCGGTACTTGTTAATGATTTGAAATAGACTGAAATCAAGCTTTGTGTAAAATGTAACTTTTGGTGACGTTCATGAAATTTAGTGTTTTATCTTATTTTTATCGACAACGGAAATAAAATAAAAAGCGGTTAAGAAAGTTTCTATGTTATTTGAATTTTGAAAATTTATTGACGTTTTCTCTTTGCACAAC